TTTATAGGTACTAACAAAACCAAGGTGAAGATTTTATGATTCTGCTGCAAAATCATGCTTATCCATTATTAGTGCTAAATCACACTTTGATGACAGTGTTTTAAGCAGCACTTTATGATAGCTTGATAAGTTTCTCATCTGCTTACTTTTTTGGAAGGTAGGGGCAAAATTTCTAAAGTAATCTAGTTACTTGAGCTTTCCAGTTAGTTGAATGCTAATTTGTTAGATTGTTGTTTTGTGACTAAAGACATATTTTTACCATTCATCATATAAATTTTCAATTGTCATTCAGATATTTTAAGTTTCTTTGAATATTCCTTTAGCCAGTTGGTTAGCACTTAGAAACGATATATTGTAGCACTAATATTATAAGAAAGAAAGTGGATGCTTTTATAGCTTTAGTCAGCAGTAAGAAACTCTAAGTTTACAACAGTGAAACTGCCGATTTGTATGTTACTGTCAAAACATAAATAATAGTTTTTCCTTTCAGTTTAATTCAAGGGAAACTATTACACAAATTTTGCATTTTTGCATTAATGGAACAAAAAAGTGATTTGTTTTTATTATTGCATGGCTTTTTAAAATGTAAAATTCTTTATTAGATTATGAAACTAAAAAATTCTGATCATTTCTGCTACAATTTTTGTTTTATCACAGATGTGAGACAAAAATTAGATACCTCCGTATACTTATCTGTGGTGTTCAATAACAGTATCATGTAGATATGGTCTGTCAACAGCCAAGCACATTCAGCCATAGCATGCTTGTAATTTATCCCAGTAAAGAGGCTGGTTGCATGAACATTTTTCATATGTTTAGCATGAATATGAGCCAATTTTCTAATGAAAATCCTTTACCAACCCTTTCCCTATGCAGAGAGCCCTATGTGCATTGCTGTAATCAAATAAATCCAGTATTCATTCATAATAGAAGAAATGCATCAAGATCTTGAAACAACTTACATTTTTTACCTTTCCAAAAAGAGTAGTTTGAGTTATCAAAATTCATAAAATGGCATATTTTGCTTTATTCAGGGTGTCCCATATGAGATTAAAATCTAGCAACTTAGATGCCAATTTATGCATGACACGACTGTAGCATGTTTTTAATCCAGTCCATAATGATTTTAGCTCATTAAACTGAAAAACTGTTATCCAGACAGTAACTAGACATGCTAATTTTTTCCCTTCTTATATTTTGCAGAAGAAATCATAAGGATTGTCTTAATTTTCGTTATTATTCTGTCTTCCTATATTAGTATTCAAATTTACACGAGTAAAATTACACTTCACAGAAATAAAGATCTTCCTCTTTTGTTAAGAACTGTATGAAAACATCTTGGATTAATTGCATTCCTAGACCTCCTGTTGATCTTACATTTTGCTTCTTTTGCAAAGGAGAACAATTAATTTTTGGTACTTTTGACAGTGTGTTACTGATTAATGAACTCTCTTTTGTGAGTTGTGACCAGGGCTGGTGCCAAAGCATGTACAACCAGTACAACTGTACCGGGTGGCAAAATTATTAGAATTTCTGAAAGAATCGGGTGGTAGAATTTTGAATTTGCAGTGTTTGCACCATGCAGCAAAAAGTCTTGCACCGGCCCTGGTTATGACCCAAATAAAATGAGCTCATTTATGAAGAGAAATTAACACTGATCAGTAATGGCACTATTAACTGAAAATTATTTTTCAGAAATCCTTTATATCTAATATTCTGGCCATTGATTTTTTAATTATTTCAAATTTTAAACTTCTATTTCTGATGAAAAGAATACATATAATTACTACCTTAGACATGCATCTCATGAACCATATATAGCTGCAACTACCTAACTTTTGTCTATTGTATGCACTGAAAACTGAATTTATTAATATAAAAAATTCTATTTAATATAAAGTTTTTATGTAAAACAATATAAAAAAAATCAGCAATATTTACTTAATATGAAATGGTTCTGAATAAAAACATAGAATCATCAAATTATAAAAAAGTACTTGATGTTGACTTTGTTGTAAATGAAAGTTTTTGTACCAAATGTATTTTTGTAGCATTTATTTATAAATATATAAAAATGTTCACTATTTTATATTTATGTATTTTAGAATTTTTTAAATGTTAACTAGTGATATTCCATTCTTTATTTGGATATTTTCATTGGATATAATTAAATTATGCTCTAGAAATTAAAAAACAAAAATTATTAATGGACATAAAATTTTAAAATTATTATAGACTTGTGTTTGAATATTGATATAAGTCATCTGACTTAATAAAGATTCTTTTCCCCTTAGTGGTTTTATCTAACATTATATCGTACGAAAAATTCTATTTTGCATATTCTTGATTACTACTAGTTTAACACAAAACTGAAAAATTAGGCTTTTTTAAAAATACATTTAAAACAATTTGGTTTAGCTATGGTTGTAAATTAAATCTTTAATAATAAACTGTTCACTTTTTTTTACATGCCTGCTCTCTTCCCCCCCAAATACCGATTAAAAAAAGTATTGACTAAAATTGAATGCATTTGGCCTGATGCAAAGCAATATAACATGTAATTACAAACTGAAAATTTGAATATGAATGTATATGGTGCAAAACTAATTGACTTAAATATTTGACAAGAAAATTTAAAATAACAGTAATAAACTATCTCAAAATTAATTGGATTTCATTATTAATAAAGAATGTGATCTATTCTAACTTGTATACATATAGTTAACTTGTATACATATTCTAACTTGTATACATTTGTATGCATGTAAATAATGGTGAAATTATACGTAAATTGTAGTATCTCTTATATAAGTAATATGAAAAGCATCAAAATGTGAAGCACCGCCAGAAAAATATTGTTATAGGGGTAGGTCCATTTAATGTTGAGAAATTGGCTATCTCGTCAATGTAGTGCCAAGTGGTAGTGGTTTTGACGACTAATTTTTGTAGCCAAATTGAATGATAAATTTCCAAAATTCTCTGAACTCGGTGACATTTTGGTTCGATTCCCGTGTAACTGTAACTGGTCCGAATGTTATGTAAGTGTATTCAACCCAATGTAACTAACATTTCGAGAAATCAAAATTACCGGAAATTTCTTGCTGAACGAGGGAAAACTATATAAAACTAGAAAGAGCATCAGTTTTCAGTTGATTTTGAAGTATTGAAGGATCTCCATACGAGCTTCACATTTTAGATGTCCTTTACATTGCATTTTGTTAAAGATTCTTATTAGTTTTAAGTGGTAATTACAGATTGTGTCATGCTGAGAAGAACTGTACAAGCACTCTTGTTTAAAAAGTTCCAGAACTGTTGTGTGTTTTTTAAAAATAAATTTCATCAAGCTATCATCGGTACTGTGTGCATTTAATCCATTATGAACCTGAACCCACACAACTTTTTTTTGTTGTGTTTGTGTGGCAGTCTCTATGGGTTGTTTGCTGGGCTGCATTGAATTTCATGGCGTATGGTAAAACTCTTTTTAGATCCTTGACATCCACTGGGCGTTTTGTGTCTCAGAACCCCAGATGCCATTGATTAGGTACTGCAGGGACAGGATTTCCCTCGTTTCTGTTGGGCAGCTCGTAAAGGCGAGATGAGGCAAGCCTTTTGACATCAGTGACAAGTTCCTTGTTTGGGATTTTGTTTGAGATTTTAACTGAAGCCTGTTATAGTCTTTAACACTTCTGGCTAAAGTGCACCTCCAATGCAGTGGATAGAACTTCGAAATCTAAATTTCAGATTTTCAGACACAGTTTGAAGGATATCTACTGCATCTTCTCTCATGTTAGTCTTTGAAAACCTTTTAGATCCTTGCAGATCCCAGTTTTGAAATATACTTTCATCTTTCAGACCCTTTCGGATATCTTTCAGCTCTCCAATATAGCAGGCTTGTTCACTATCCATTTGTGCTTGTCACTACAGAGAATTCATTTTTGTACATTTGCCAGGAGGTCCTCCCATCATAGTAGATAACTTTACAGAAGATCACGATGGCATATGTATGAATTTAAAGTGTCAGAATGGTAACCAGGTCTCATTATGAATGTCTTCAAGCTGTCAATTCTTTGCGAAAGCAGCAGAAAGAACTAAAATGTTGTCACACAGTTTTTAGTTCAATTTTTTTATCTGTTTGTTAGGTGACACCTTCAAAGAGGAAAACTCTGCCTTCAACATCTCCATGCAAAGACATGTTTCTGCCATAGGGTCCAAATTTATTTTTGTATTAGGCAGCTTTATCATTCGAAATAGTCGTCTTGGTCATTTGCCGTCATTCAGACTCAGCACAACTCTCCAAAACTTTTTGGTGCCAATTAGCGTTTTGTTAATGCCGGCATTTTGAAAAGGTCATTCACAGTTCAATGATTGAAGCCGATAAATGCTTCTATTCGTCCTTGTTGCCGGCTTCAATCAGACAACAAACAATGTTGTGCACTGCGTTCATAAAGATGAATGATTACAGAAACTGATACGAATAAAATTTATTTAACCAAAGGAAACACTTTATAGTTCTAGAACTTTTCAAAAAAGTATTCATACAGCTCTTCACAGTACAAGAGCACAGTCGATAGTTACAGCTTTAAACTACTAAGAATGTTAAACAGAACACAATGCAAAGTCACATTAAAAACTAAAGATATTTTGTTGCATTTTAAAGCAGAAATGCATTTATCATTATAATAGTTTTGTACTGGATTTTTAAAAGATACAAATTCAGTGGAAATTTTAATCTCTAATAAAACTGATTAATAAATACAATATCACTATTAATATTGATCTATAGACTGAAAAATAATGATTATTTTTCACTTTAAGCCAGAACTTTGACCTAAATGTGTGTCAGGTTTTTATAAGAAAACTCCTCTACAAAGACATTTCTACTCTTGTCCAGATAGCTTTCAAGCATCTTGCCATACTTAACTGACCAGTCAAAACAGCTGACCTTAATTGGTGTTATAAGCTCAAGTTTTGTACTTAGGCCTGAAAATTTACAAAACACATCAGGAAGAAGAGCATGCTTTATTGAAAATACTATATTTTATTTTAAATTAAAGTGATGGTCACAAAACTGTCATATGAAAAATAGAAATAATTACATTACTATAAGTATTAAATATTTAATTTTCATAATTGTTAACATTTTTACTCAAAGGAGACAAAATACTCAACTAACATATATATTTCAGTAACATTTTTACTCAATGGAGGCAAAATGCTCAACCAACATGTTTCAGTATTTTTATATTTCATGTAAAAAAAACTTCCTGAGTAACAATAATGGAAAAGACTGAAAAATTAGCATGTATCTTTGCATATATACAGTTTTTATAAATGCACTTAATAAACTCGCATTTTCTATCAAAGTTTTTCTATCAAACAGGGAAACAGGATTTTTTTTTTTTACAAAAATGTTTCATTTTTAATAACAAAAATACTAAGTATGTTTTCCATACAAATTACTGCTGCAATTCTAGGAATTACTCTGTTGCATCTTCTTTTGTCACTGAAAATGGTGTTTCAACTGGAATTGTATCACAGTCAGCAATAATTACATCTTTGATCGGTCGATCACTGCTGTTAGTTTTGGTGTTTTCAATCTTCCTAACAACACTCTAGAAATATAAAGTAAATTCATAAATATTATTTACTTATAAAGCAAATATTCAGCACTTATATGCAAACTGATTTTAATGACAATATTGACATAAAGGTTGGTAAAGTTTTAACTTTCTGAACTGCTTATTCTTCACTATTCATAATTTTTTGACACTTTCATTCTGTTTTTTTTCAAAATTACTCAATTTTTAAGTATAATTTCCTTTTTGTCTGATAGTTCAAATCCTTTTTATATACATGTGCAGATGTTTAAAAAGCATTTATATTAGAAAACTTTAAGCAGAATAAATGGCTTTCATTCAGCTCATATTTAATAAGACAAATTAGTTTCAAAGTACCAAAATAAGCTAGGTGCTATTTTTATGTAACTAAATATATAATGATTACTCTTAACCAGATAGTATTACACATGGAAATCAAATCAGAAGGCCTTAAACTCTGCTCACTTGAGCACTATCGAATGGAAAACATCCAGAGTTCCAGTTCAAGCATAAAGAATTCACGAATATCTATAAAAGATTTTCACAGAGGCATTTTTTTTTTAAATGGTCTTAAAAAGCCTAAGCATTTTTAAAATTTAGAACACTAAATTCAGCAGCATCAGCAACATTTTTATAACTGATGCAGATAATTTTGACTAGACCAAAAACAAAAAGAGGATACTATTTAACAAATAACATTTAACTATAACTGTTATCGTTATATTGTTGAATACGTTGACTGCTGTATGACACCACACTGGAGCATCAAAGATAAATATATTTTATTTCAGGCAGTAGCAACACATTTCTTTTAAATCAGTAATTTTATTGATTAAATCTGAAAGATGTTTTGCTGGGTGATGTTTAAACTGTTGAGTATGTTCATCAAAATTTCATTATGTTTGCACAAAACATATGAGGGCGAATTGGAAAGTCTTTGCCTCTATTTTTTTTAAGCCAAATTAAGACTATAAACACAAAGTCAACATATCCATTCTCCATAGTAGACACTTCTTGGACCAACCTGGCCTTATCTGTCAGTAGTTCCACAGCTTGACGCTGCTGTCAGTTGTTGAAGATAGCAGTTGTGCTTCACATGTCCACAGCATATGATCAACAAAGTGTGTTTTGATTTCTATGGAGCAAGGGACAAACACCCATTGAAAGGAAATGCAGCCCAAATACGGGAAAAAGTGTTTCATTTTGAGAAGTGTGAGATGGTGGTGGTAGTGGTTGTATGAGTTAAAAGGTTGTGAAGACATGCATAACAATAAGTGTTTGGGGAATGCTGCTTTTGTGGTTGACTGACAATATTTCCTGCATGGAAGAAATGATGAAAGTCGATTGGCCTGTACATCTCAAGAACATTATCAGGGAGCTTGACATTTTGTATGGGAATGTTTACATCATCATTTATGGGTCCTTAGGGTACTAACAGTTTAATTTCATGTCGGTGAGTGCCTAAGCAATTAGATGACATGATGAAAGGCAAGTAAATGATTACTATCGGGTACTGCATTGTTACTGACGATGAAATGTGCATTTATAACATTTCACACCAGAACTGAAGCAGCAGAGCATGGTGTGGAAACATCCAGGTTCACCTGTGACAAAATATTCCATTCAGTGCCATCTGTTGGGAAAGTGATGTTAACAGTCTTCTGGGATAGCAAAGGACCGCTCCTGCTGGTTTTCATGCCACAAAGTACAACCATCAATGCCAACAGTTATTCTTCAACAATGTCACATCTGCAGCCTGCCATCACGTGAAAGCATCAAGGGATTCGAGGAATTTTTGATGTGGACAAGGTGTTTACCCTAAATATGGGGCAATCAGAACTGCCAACAAGCTCTGGTCATTTCAATGGGAGAATCTGGACCTAGTAATTTCTATGTTTTCAGTCTGCTGAAGAAGTTCCTGGCAAGACTGTGATTCACATGCAATGATGAAGCCAAATATAGCAGTCATAAATTGTACCACAGGGGCATCTCAAATTTAGTGCAGCAATGGGACAAATGTCTGAATCCAGTGTGGGAACTATGCAGAAAAACAATGTACATAGAATAGTACATATTTTTATAATTAACTGTATGCACCTTATTTTGGCTGATAAAAAGTAGGGGCAAAGAATTCATCCCTGTAAGGGAAAAAAAAATAAATTAAAAAAAAATTGAGATGCACATTATCAGATGGAGGGCTGTGTATTCAAAATTTTGTGGCTCTTGGTGCTGCAGTTTCTCTACAGTGTGAGGGACCTACATACAGTTTCTTCACTATTTAATTATAAAGACAAGACTGGCATTACTAAATGGGGAAAAAATGAAATGTACATCTAAAGGAGTTTGAATTGATGCCTGCAGAAATCACAGAATGAGCAAATTTTGCATGTTTATACTGTTCACCAACTGCAGGCTAAACAGTCAGAGGATTAAAATGTATTTGAGCACAAACATTATTAAAAGCATAAATTAAGCATTATCATTAAAATTAGGTTCTTTATTATATTTTCAGCCAACATTAGAGTAAAACATATTGCTTTTATAGGGTAAATAAAAAATTAATTATGTTCAAATTTGATTGGCTCTCTTACCATTCCTTTCACAACTTTCCCAAAGACAACATGTCTTCCGTCTAACCATGGAGTCTTCTTTGTTGTAATGAAAAACTGTGACCCATTAGTATCCTTTCCAGCATTTGCCATGGATAACCATCCAGCTCCATAATGCTTCAGCTTAAAATTTTCATCTGGGAAACGATCCCCATATATGCTGCGACCTACACGAAAAAATATGATTTATACATTGCTTTAAATTTTCTTCATACAATTTTGACATTTACACATTATTCATAGCATAGAAATATTGATATTTACAGCATTCAAACAATATCATTCAGTCAAATGATGCAACAGATTCGTCATAGTTTATTCAGCGATTTTTCACAAATGTATTTAACGTATCACCAGTCTCAAGTAAAGTGATCTTGGTTACATTATTGCTTCTCTCCATTTCTTTTGCTGCTTGTCAATTCAATGCACTTTGAATTGAATCATCACTTAACTCTTGCACAACTGATTCAGTTTAATTTTAAATTAATTTAATAATTTTTTTACTCATTTGAAATTGTTTTCAATAATTCAGAATGATTTCGATTATTCACTGTATTAATATTTTCACCTCCTTTACAAAAATTTTGCTTTACGGAATTTAGCCACAGTTTTTACCTAACCTTTCATATGTGTGAACATCTGAAAGGTTTGCATATACACATCTTTTTTAAGAAATTGCAACCATGAAAACATCATCTTTTATATATAAAATTGAATTTTCAAGTCCTTGATGCTGCAAGTTCAACAACTTTTACACAAATGAATTTGCACATTTACATGAGTTTTTAACAATGATCTGATTCATAGATTGGATTAATATTATCGAGGTTTTGGCAAATTTTATAAATTCATATGCTGCTATTTTATTCCCTAATCGATACTTTTATGAAGTTAAAAAAATATTTTAAATACATATAAAGAAAAAATATATAAAAAACATTTTGAATTAAAAAATTGAAAATGTCAAAAAAATTAGAGTTTATGAATAATGTGAAAGGAAATGCTAGTTATGCCACCTTGCGGCAAAAATGGCAAAAGGATGCTGGAGATTATATGCATTGATCCATTGAATGCCCAACTATCAGACTTTTACTAAGCTTTCGGGAGGGCCTTGCATGAGCCTTCTGTTCCTTTTGTTGGCTTGTTACTCGTGTATTAGTGCAAACATCTTGGTGAAATTTGTCATTTTTACATAAGAGAAAAAAAGATTATTTATAACAGCAAAGAATTATTACATACATATTCTACATTTTAATTAGATTATTTATCCAAAAAGTCATACAATAAACTTAATGTGCTTTTATTAATTTTTTAAAAATTTATGCTGTATTGAAAATTTTGTGATTATAGCTTTAAGAATACATTTTAAACAATTTTCCCTGTAGAGATTTTGTGGCAAATGTATTTCTGTAGAAATTTTACCACAGTTGCTTTCATTACAGGCACATCCCTCAATATATGCTTTAAAATTGAATTTTAAATAAAACATATCATAATTTGCACATAATAACCATTGCAATTTGGAGGTCAATCAAATACATACAAAACTGGTAACAATACTATGTTGAAACTAAACGACTATTATTTCCATGGTTAATCAAGTTTGAGACATTCTGAAAATTTCGGAGACTTTTTCGCTAAAAAGGTAGTTGCACTAATACATAAGTACTATTTATACATTCCAAGAAAAATACATCTGTTGCATGTCATACTCATACTTTGAATTTTAAAGAATTAGGGTTGGTTTCATTTGGCATTTTTCAAATTTGGCGAGATGCTTTATAGATAAACTGAAATTTAAATAAGTGCTGAGACATGCCATCTGTTTTTTAAACTGTTTCATCAGATGAAAGTCTACTTTGAATGTACAATGCTTAATGATGATCCTGGCCAGACGGTATAGTGGTTAGGGAAGCCTGACTAACAGGGTAATAAATAGCAAAGGGCCCGTGTTTGAATCCTGGAGAAGGCATGGATGTAATTGTCTGTCCCTTCATAGGAAGCAAAGGTGGCCCACCTATTAGGTGCCTCCATAATATAGAGACCACCATATCTGGCCTTAGGAGTAGCAAATACCGGCACAGGCAAGTGCCTGTTACTAAGGGGGGGGGAATGTTTGATGATTTCCTTAAAGAGGAAGCCTTGACAATTTATTCTTAAACCTTGCATAAAAACATTTTTTAAAATCATTGCTCAGGTTCTCCTAGAAGAAATATTATGTATAGTAGCTTCTGGCATAAACTGTGCCACATAATTAAATGTATTCATCATTTTACAATTTATACAATATATTTTTTTAATATATTGTAAAGGTATTCTTTTTAAATGTTTTCTGGGTTTATGCATAATTACTTATATTTTCTATTTTTATAAAAATTAAAGCATTTAATCAAAATTCAATATTTTGTTTTTACAAGAAAAAGTGCATGAATACTTTACCCCCTTAAAGCATAATATTTAAAGTATATCATTAACAACTAAGTAAAATAAATCTTTCAAAATTCATAAAAAATATGAGATTTATTTAATAATACCTCCAGTTCCATCCCCGTTTGTAAAATCTCCACCTTGTATCATGAAATCACGAATAACTCTATGGAAAAGGGATCCTTTATATCCAACAATTTTGTCTTCAGCTTCAGGCTACAAGAAATTAAAATTACTGACTTTGTTATAGAAAAATAAATATTACATTAATTAACCAAAACAGCAATCTTATTAAGCAGAATTCTTTTTTGCTCTTAAAGATGAGGGGTATATGTCTGATCAGCCTCTAAACTGATAACATTTTGTTCAAAATCTACATCAAAATAAAGTTGTTGTTTAGCCTAACTTTTAGTTTTGCACTGGGATATTTTTCTTCCCAATTTAACAAAAACATGTAATAAATATGCTAGCTAACATGTATTTAACTACAGTGCACTTTTTCATTCAATATATACATTAGCGATCTATGACCGACACAACACTACATTTTATTTAATTCGGTTAGTCTATATTTTAGGGTGTTCCTTGGATTATGGCCAAGTTGTTTTGTTTATCGCCAAATGGTTGTTTTATTTATGGTAACCTGAGTAGTTTTGAATGTTATGGAAATCCCATTACTGTTGAAGGTATGCGTGGTTCATTTGTTTACTATTGCAACTCGGCTAATTTGAAACGAGAAGATAAATAAAACAGAATCAAAGTTCTTACCTTGTTAAAGCGTAATCCATACTGCGAATGTCAGGAACATGATCATTATTATTAGCACACAAAAATAACATATTTATTACGTATAAGAAGAAAAAATATCTAGGGATGATAAAAGCACTGTTTACTGTCCATAGCAGACCGTAAGAATGAGTCATACAAGGAGAGAAGGTTTCTTTTTTGGATCGAGTCCAATTTCAGTTAGCGAGAGTGAGAGGGAAAGTAACATCGGAAGGTACAGCTTAATTGCTTTCCTTATCAATTGCTCCACAATTATGATGCGATGATTGTGGTGTATTTGACTGATGGGAAAATGTTTGTGAGGGCTTATTTCCGCATTGGATGTCGGTTAGAAAGTACGTTGCTTATTTTGTGCTGTACACTGTAAAATGGCTGTATGTAACAAGATTAATTTCTGTACAATTTGGAACAAAAGGGAGAAATGCATTAATTGACTGATGTGTAAATGAAGTTTTACTTAGTAGTCATTATAAGCGTCCTGTTTGTACGAAAGAAATTCGTATGGTCGAACGTAAAGATCATTCAGATGGCTTTGAATGGGCTTGTCACAAGAAAGGTTCATGCAAGAAATGCCACCAACAGTCTGGCACTACGGAGGATATTTTTGAATTTATGTGGTGGTTAGAGTAGATTTAAGGGTGCCCCTTGTATTATTGCAAAGTTGTTGTTTCATTTATCACCAAGTTGTTATTTCATTTATCACCAAGTTGTTGTTTCATTTATAGTAACCTGAGCAGCTGAATGTTATGGAAACCCTATTAGGACATAATTGGTTGTGTGATTGTGGTGAATTTGAATGACGAGAAAAGATTTGTAAGGTCTTGTGATGTGTGTTGGTTAGGAAGTTCGTAGCTTGTTTTGTGTTTTAGACAGTAAAATGGCTGAATGTAGCTGAAAATTAATTTGAAGTTTCTGTATGATTTGGAAAGAAAGGTAAAAAGAGCATTACTTGACAGGTGTGTAAATGAAGGTTTACTTTGTAGCCATTATATGTGTCTTGTTTGTAGGAAGGAAATACGTATGGTCGAACATCAGAGGTTACCGGCACTACGGAAGATATTTTTTATTCTTTGGGAATTTATGTGGCGATGCCAGTATACAGATTTTAGACGGAAATATCTAAATAAGGTAAGCGGATATTTCCTTTGTCTAGTGCTAAGATGAATTTCCTTTTTCATGCTATTTGATTGTTCGATTTAAAATGTAGTTTATCGAGATTATATATTTTTTGTTGGCTGTTCCTTTGACGTTATTAGTGAATACAGATTGATGTATACATGGACAAAGGGAGTGTGCAATGCCAAGCTTGTGCAATTCTCTGATGTTTTTTTAAGTGAAAATAGGTTGATGTGTAAATGGATACCAAGATTGTGCAATTCTTTGTCTTGTTATTTTGGCTTTGTGTAGTGGCGATTATGCAGCTTATTGAGCCTCGATTTGTTGCAAATTTTGTTCAAATCTGGTGATGAGAAACTTTGTTTTAATATTATATGATGTCATCATTCTCCTGACTTTAAGTGAAAACAGATTGATGTGTACATGGACACTGAGTTTGTGCAATTCTTCGACTTGTTACTTTGTTCTCATGTAGCAGCAATCTTGAAACTGTTACCTGCTGGCCAATCGGCAAAGGACACCCTGAAATATATTTTTACAAAAGATATCACACGTTATTGCAGAAATTACATGTATAGACACAAATATATACGAGATAAAAAGTTAGTATTTATTAAAACTTGCATTTCTTTAACCCTAAGATATTGCTGCTCTTGTCTAAGTGTTGTTAAAATTGGATGTGCCTTAGAATCCACCTCTCCCTCTTTAATATAGTAAAGTTATAATAAAAACATAAATTAAAAGAACACTAAGATATTGAAAAAGACTTAAAATACAATTTATGAATGACTATAAATCTATATTAATTAAATAATTTGTTATCTTACATAATGAGTGGGCCATTTATTAAATTATTACTAGGAAAATATGAAATATTTTATTATGTAACTATGATGGTAAAAATAAATTCAACATAAGTCACTGAAAATGGAACTGAATAATTCAGAGTTTTAACAGAAAAACGACTTGAGTCCATTTTGTAAGTTTTCAGAGAAAGTCATTTTAATTTTGACGAGTTTTTTTTTTAACACAGAATTCAAAGAAATATTTCTCAAGTGACTAATATTTTCTCTCAATTTAAAAATGCATAGTTTATAAGGTATTTCTCCCACCTTCTTAGCAAGTGCATAACTGAGAGGTCCTCGGTTCAACTCCTGGTGAAGACGTTGTATATTTTTCATCTTACCTAATGTCTCTACAGTGGCACCCAAACTAAAAAGGGTGTTGGATGATGATTTTCCTCACCCAGGATTTGGTGATTGGGTCCCCTAAAAAACCTCCCAGTCGCCCTTTAAAAGTGAGAATATATAAGGTATTTCTCCTGCCTTCTTAGTGAGCCTTCATGGTGTAGTGGTTTGCACGTTCAGCGCATAATTGAGAGGTCCTCGGTTCGATTCCCTGTGAAAGCTTTGCATATTTTTCATCTTGCCTGCTTCCAAAAAATACTAATGTCTCTAGAATTTATTCATTTTAATTCACATACCATTAAAACATTATAAATTTTTTTATTTTAATACATACAGCAAACTGATGTCTTGAAAATGGCTCAAATTATATGATAGTGGAAGACCACTGAGCCTTTACCTTACCATAAAATTCATCATTTTGGTAATAGTGGTATAAAATGTGAAATTTCATACCAATCATTTGGGGCAATGATAACTTTTCATTTCAGAAATAAAAGGGAAATAATTAGAAATTCAGCAGTAAGGAAAGCCTGGGTGAAGGTTTGCCATAATGACACAAACAGCAATAAATCAAGAGGGCACATTAGGCAGTATTTGTTAGTTTGATAGTTTTTAATTCAAGAGGTGCCCTATTCCGGAACTATACCATCTAGATGGTTAGAGCAAAGAGAAGGGTACCCCTTGTATTATTGCAAAGTTGTTTCATTTATTGCCAAGTCGTTTCATTTATGGTAGCCTAAGTAGTTGAATGTTATGAAAACCCTATTATGACGTAATTGGTTGCACAATTGGCAGTAAATTCGTAAGGGCTCGTGGTTCGTGTTGGTCAGGAAGTATATTGCTTGTTTTGTGGTTTAGACAGTAAAATAGCTGAATGTGGTAAGATTAATTTGAAGTTTCTGTACAGTATGGAAAGAAAGGATAAAAGAGCATTACTTGACTGGTGTGTAAACGAAGGTTTACTAAGTAGACATTATTAAGTGTCCAGTTTGTAGGAAGGAAATGATGCGTACAGTCGGACGATATGGCACTACGGAGCATATTTTTTACTCTTATTTTGTGAATTTATGTTGCGATGCCAGTACACAAATTCTAGTTCAGATAATTTTAGGAAGTTTTTGGATGCAGTTAAGGAATTTTGTTTGACTGAAGACATGCTAATTCCTAAATAAGGCAAGTAGTTATTTCCTTTTTGTAGTGCAAAAATGAATTTCCTTTTTTATGTTATTTCATTGTTTGATTTAAAATGTAGTTTACTGAGATTATATATTTTTTTGTTGGCTGTTCCTTTGCTTTTTTAAGTGAATATAGTGCGATATGTACATGGTCAAAGTCAAGGGAGTGCATATGTCTAGTTTGTGCAATTCTCCTATTTTTTTTAAAGTGAAAATAGGTCGATGTGTACATGGATAAAACCAAGGGAGTGCACAATGCCAAGTTTGTGCAATTCTCTGATTTTTTTTAAGTGAAAATAGGTCAATGTGTACATGGCTACTGACTTTGTACAATTGGTAAAAGTATAGTTTAGGGTACCCCTTGGCGATTTTTGGCGGTACATGGATACCGATTTTGTGCAATTCTTTGACTCGTTATTTTGGCTTGCGAAGTGGTGATTTTTGCGCCAAAAATCGGCGCTACACAAAGCCAAAATAACAAGACAAACAATTGCACAAACTCGGTATCTATGTACACATTGACTTATTTTCACTTAAAAAAAAATCATCGAATTGCACAAAAATGGCATTGAGCACTCCTTTGACTTTATCCATGTACACGACGACCTATTTTCACTTTTAAAAAGAATCCCAGAATTGCACAAACTTGCATTGCGCACTCCCTTTACTTTGTCCATGTACACATCGATATATTTTCACTTCAAAAGTCAAAGGAGCACCAAATTCTACAACATAGGCAAACAAAAAATACATAATCTCAATAAATACATTTTAAAACCAAACAATAAAAATAACATAAAAAAGGAAAAACATGTTATACATTTAAGCACTACCAAAAACAAATATTCACTTACCATGATTTTCGAGTTCGCTTCGTACACCCAGAGCCACGTAAAAAACAAAATATCAATCATACTCAAATGACTTTTTTTCAAACCAGGTACTCTTTCTTATTGAACGGTTCACATAGTGACCATCCGAACCTTTCTTCCGAAACCCACTCAAATCCATCTAAACGATTTTTTCGTTTGACTAGATGTATATCCTTCCTACATACAGGACACTAATAATGGCTACTAAGTAAACCTTTATTTATACACCAGTCAATGAAAGCTCTTTTCTCCTTTCGCTCCAAAACGTACAGAAACTTCAAATTAATTTTACTAAATTCGGCCTTTCTACCTTCTAAAGAATCAAACCAACACACACCACAAAAACACAAAACATCCCATGATTCAAAATTTCCCAGAATCATGCACCCGATTACGTCACAATAGGAATTCCATAACATTCAACTACTCAGGCTACCATAAATAAATGAAACGACAACTTGGCGATAAATCAAACAATAACTTCGCCATAATACAAGAGGTACCTTAAAGTCTACTCTACCCGTACAATTGTTTGTCTTGTTATTTTGGGTTTGTGTAGCTCCGATTTTTGGCGCAAAAATAACAAGCTAAAGAATTGCACAAACTTGGTATCCTTGTACTGCCAAAAATTGCCATTTTTCGCCAAGGGGTACCCATACATATATTTTTACCCATCTAGATTGGTGAACATGCAGTATATACCGATTTATTAATGAAAGAATATTTGAGAGCCAGAAGTGATATTCTGAAATAAGCCCATGTTAAACCATACAGGAAGTCATTTCTTAAAATGACTGTAAATAGGAAGAGAGAAATAAGCCCATATTAAACTATAAAGGAAATCATCTCTAAAAATGACTGTAAATAGGAAGAGAGAAATAGCAGAATTCTAACTGTAAGCGAATGTGGTACATAAAAGGCCAAAATCAATTTATTAATAGACATGTAAAATTTCAATCTTCTTACTTCATTTTTATGCTTTGTACATAGTTCAACAAAATTTTTAACAGTCTTTGGTACTGTTTTCCCAAACAAGCCAATTTCAATACGTCCAGCAGCTTCTCCTCCAATTGTTATATCAAAATAAAGCTATGAAATACAAATCTATATTAATGTTTTACAAAATAAAACTTCCTTTTATAACAAAAGAGAATAACTTTACTGTAATTTACACATCATTTGATTTATAAGTAAATTCAAATTAGATTAAGATTTGGTATAATCAGTGTTAAAATAACTAGGTAATTGATCACTGATGAAATTAAATAAAGGAAAAAAATTAACTTTCTAGGGAATTTCTGTTTGGAAAATAAAATTTTAATGGCACTTAAATTTTTATTGATTAAATATGTTTGCTATAAAGCTTTAAAATATTTTAATACATTTAATTTTTTTAATAGAGACAAAGTTTCAATATTTTAAAGATGACAGATCATAGATTATAGAATTATGGCAGATTACTATAGGCATATCTACTTAAGTGGAAGCCCTCATGGAGAACTTTCTATCAATAACTGTCTCTATTTTACGTTACACATTGTAAGATTCCAATCTTTAAGTAACAGCTAAAAATGAAGAACCTTAAGAACTGGTAAGCGAATAATTGCTTAGTTCAATAGACAAACAGCAGGACTCGAGAAGAGTTTAATATCTTTTATTTCTCAAAATAAGAATTTAACAGTTGACTCCTTTTCTGAGTTTACAGCAAAGCCCCCACTTGGGCTTGAACTCAGGAATACTAAGAAATAAAACTTAACTAAAGAGATATAGCTGAAGATATCAAGATTTTAACAGAGCTGGCACCTTAACACTAACTAAACAGTGAAGCTATCAAGGGCCTAAAGTATGGCTGAGCATAATATAATAATAGCTTGCTGCTCAGAATTTCTGGCTCTCTAACACAGTAGAAATTCAACTTTAAATACTTGTTCTTCCTTCATTTGCATCTAACCGCACTTCTAAAAACAAGTCCTGGCAGGAAATTGCAAGCTGAAATTAAGACGTGGCAGGAAAGCGGCTTAAACTAAACATTAACAGTTATAAACATACGATAAACCTTACAATGTGTTTAAGAAACTCAATGAATGCAATTATAACATAGATTTTTCTGTTTACATATATACTTCACTTGATGTAACGTACATTATGATGTTCAGTGGATGTCTGTAAATGCTAAATAAAATTACAGTTGTTAATTAAAAAGATTTTTGTTGCTAAGTTTATTTCCATTCGTTCTTAGTTATTAAAATAAACTAAAAATCTAAGTGATTTTTAACTAACATGGATTAAAATCACAACAGCTTTTAATATACTTTCATAGCAATCTGCAAATTGCTGTAAATTCATGCATTTGCACCGAATTACTCGAATATTTTTCTAATGAACATTCCTCCTGAGATGCTTTATTTAAATGAATATAAGAATCGTTTTTTTAATTTTCATTTTGCTTAATAAATACCGCAGACTTTTAAAACCTCGGTGTTTCACTTTTACGGCATAAAATCCAAGGGAAACTTATAATATAGGAGGTTAAATTGACTAATATTGAAGAAAATAAATCAAACTTATTAACAACAACAACAACAGAAAAAAAAAAAAAAAGCAATGGTAAGAAACAGTATTATGCTACAATGAATTACACAACAACTGATCTTCTTACCATATCTGTCACTTTTGGTCCTTTAGGCTGCTTTTTTTCATCACTCTGAGCATCACTTATACTTATCAATAAAATACAGCACACAGAAATAATAAATAATTTCAACATTTTGTGTATGTTTTATAAATTTACTATCAGGAAATCATCAAACACCACGTCTTCAATTCCTGATACAAATCATACATCAAGAAATCCTAACTAGATAGGTGGATATCTTTGCAGACGCCGGTTAAGTAAAAGTTGTTGTTCCTTAAATTTGCAACAATAAAAAATAAGAATATTTTATTTTTCAATTATCACAGAATGAATTAGAATTAACTTATAATATTGCAAATTCAGGGGACTAATATTTTTTCTTTCCTTAAATTTTAAATTCTGATTTCAGCTTTTGCTTAATTTTATTAAGTAGTTTATAGTTTTACCGTACTGTCTATCAAAAATTAATTGGAGTTAGTTATTGTAAGAGCTGCTTAAAGATTTTATTTAAATTTTCTTGTAATTTATGCTTTCCATTTGTTGAAGAGAAACATTTATTTGAAGTTAACTGTCATCTAACCGTCATTTGTTGTCATTCGTTCGTCCTGCAAAATGTATTTTTAAATTATTATTAAGTAGATTACAAAACACTTTTAATTTTGATATGTCTGCTGAAAGTTTCCGCCAAGAAATGCCCCCTAAGGGGGGCTATGCTGATATAACATGGAAAAGAGTACCTTTAAAGAGTCCTCTTAGTGGTAAGGTTCATCATTTGTGCGTTTGATTACAAGTTAATTTATATTACCTCTAATTCAATTTAATTTCTGATTGTATATGATAAAGGATTTGTGCGTGCAAGTTGCTGAATATTATAACTAAATAATTTTGTAAGAATTAATTACCCGAATTTTGTAATGTGAAATATATCGAAGTAACTAGACAGTAGGCTATTGTTAAGCAAAAACAACTCTATCCAAAAACATTCATCCATATCCTTATTTGAATATAAGGGTAAAAGCCCAAAAAGTGTATAGTTGAATGTAGGATTATTTGGTACAATTCCGTTATGGGGACCGTAAAAAGTTGCAGTGGCTCACAAAAATGGGTAAAATTCTAGGAGAGCCCACACCTCCGAAAGCCTTTTATTTTATTTATATATAAATGCTAACATTTTTTATAGTAAATACATATTCGAAAAGATGAAAATTAATTCAGAAATCAATATCATTTGTTTAATGAGTATTAATAATATTGTCACAAAAATAATTGGGCACTTTTAGTAACACCCAAAAATTTACATTGCTTTTGCTTTTAAATATTTTGTAGGATAACCGGTAAAAGTTTACAATTGGGTGCCCCCCTTGTTTATTGGCGGTTCTTTTTTGTCGCCAAGATCGGCGCCAGGAAGTCACAATTTCAAGATGGCCGATTCACAAAACCAAAATAAGAAGTCGAAGAATTGCATAAGATCTGTGTCCATGTACACATCGATCTGTTTTTACTTAAAAAAACATCCTAGAATTGCACAAACTAGGCATTGCGCACTGCTTTATCTATGTCCATGTACACATCAATCTATTTTCATTTAAATAAAATCGGGAAGCTAAAACAAAGTTAAAACTATCATGGTAACCAAAAGTGAGGTTTCATCGCCAAAATTTTTTTTAAATGGCGCCAATCGAAGGGGCACCCAATTCTACACTAAAGCTGGATAACCTTTACAATTGTTCACTTCATTTAATCTTTTGGGTATTGACTCCACAATTTCTTTTTTTTTTTTTTTTTTTTGTTCTTGTTGTTATTTCTGGACTTATTTTATGCACTCCTCTTGAATCACAGCTTTCGGTTGCTGCCGTGAAGATATGCTTCGTTTTCGAATTTTCGATTCTAGTTACTGCCAAATATGTTCAATAAGATTAAGATCTGGCGATTGGGTGGTGCCTTAATTACTTCTGGATACTTATATAACAGGCAAAGTCTGATACTGTATGCTTTGAATCATTTTCATGGTAGAATTTAAAACTATTTTGTTTATTAAGTTTTTGTGCTGACGATGCCAAATTTTACTTTAAAATGTCAAAGTGATGTTGATTCATTATACTATCTACAAACTCTGTATTACATATACTGGAATGGGCAACAGATCCCAATACTGTAACTCTTCCTCTGCCACGTTTAATAACTGTTACTAAGTTTTGCTTCCAAAACTCCTCTTTTGGTTTTCTCCACACTATCGCTCATCCATCTCAGCCGAAGATGTTAAATTTGATTTCATCAGCAAACACTTTTTCCAGTAGTTAGGTGTCCATTGTTTCATCAGTTTTGCAAAAGCGTGGCGAAGATTTCATTTTTTTTTTACTGACCTAAAATTTTCTTGAGAGATCATGAGATATGTCATGTGACATTAATGGAAAAATTACAGTTCTTTAATCGGAAAAGGGGGGAAATTTGGAAAAATATCTGCAAGTACTATAGTATTTTGTATTAAACTTCATTGTTTGTTGTGTGAAATAGTGTTGATTAATTTTCGGATTGCATGGCACTATGTAAAGTGAATTCTAAATTTTTAATGCGTTTATCTGATAATAATAATAAGTTGAGATTGTGTGAAAGGAAGGCTATTACAGATAAGTTTGAATGGTGGTGCAAGAAATCTGGTGAAAATGGACATTTTGTGAAACAAAGTGTAAGGAAGGGTACGTGGTTTACTGAAAGTAGTTTGAGTATGGGTGAAATTTTATTAATTTCTTATTACTGGGTGAATAGACTGCCAGTTGACTACTGGATTTCGGATTTAGAAATTAGTAGTAGTACTGCAGCCGATTGGAACTCTTTCTGTAGGGAAGTGTGCGTGCCACGTAATGAAAATTCTGAAGAAGATTAGGTAAGTTAGTATTTTTAATCATTTGAGGATATTATTTTTATGCATTGTTCTAAATGTAAGGAGTAAATAAATTAATATGGTATTATTGGAAAATTGGGCTGATCTTTGGAATATGGTAACAGGTAGTTTGACGACATTTTGGAGGCGATAAAGGTTACTACCTAGGACGGTTGATCTGTAGATTATGGTAACTTGGCGATTTTTTGGCGAAAATTTGGTGACCAACTCTCCTACAGCAACCCTCTATTTTTTTTTTCCCCGCTGCCATTTTGTTTTCACGAAGTAAAGACATGTTTCTTTTCTTTTTATCTACTGAACACTTCTTCCAAATTACCCAAAACTTATTAATAATATAGGTAATGTGAGAGATCCATTACAATCGTTGGTCCAACCTAGGTATTTAGCCAGCTTGGTCCATGGGGTAATTATAACATTTATTTTTATCTTCCATATAATGAGCCAGGGCTCCAGTTGTATGTATATATTTGGTACTACTCTCATACAGTACAAAGTCTTTAATCCGGACCTCAAAGCTACAAACTTTCTGCGTATGCGTCAACGCATAATGCTTTCACGCATGTGCATAATACCTTTATGCATGCGCATATGCATTTACACATGAGCGTTTAATGTATAATAATAAGCTAGGCTAAAATTATCTATTTCAGTTAATGTTGCAGATTGCGTCGTTCCTTAATCTTCTAATTGGATCCGGCTTATTATTTTTTGCAGACTGTTAGAGCAATTTTATAAAAAGTAAGCTTGAACTTTCAATTATGTCAAAAAGAGTTTCCAATTCTGGAGCTGCCAAAATATCTACAAAGCGAAAGCATGTTTCGATGTACCACTTCCGATAATGAAGAAAGTTACAGAGAGGTTATTGAAAATGAAAAAATTTTGATTGACAAGTTAGTCGGTATTCTCGACACAGCAATTACAGGACCTTGAACAGTGGAACTGAACAAGAAATTATGTCTGTTTATAAAATTAAAGAGAAACTATTAGCACAAAAAATGAAGCAACTTAAACAACTTGCATTAAAAGAAATGTTTAATAAAGTAAACAAATAAATATTAAGCTTTTTTTTTGTAAATTTTAATAACCTTTAGATCATAATTGCTCTTTATTTCATAAATTACGGTTTCATGTTTTTAATTTTATAATTTCTGCGTGCCATCTTACCAGATTTAATTGATGGTCTATAATCCGGAATCGCCGAAGTCCCGACGAATCCAGATTAAAGACTTTGTTCTGTATACGCCCTCAGATGTATGGCATCGCCAAATGGTGCGATATGTGTTCTGCACTGGGTTTTGGCATGATTGTGTGTTCTGCAATGGTTTTTGGCATGATGTTGTTTGTATGGCAACCCTTTTGACATTGAAACTTGATTTTGCTGGATGGTTGGTTTGGTGGGCGTTTTGAAATAGCCTTTGTTGCAATGAAAGACGTGGTAGCAAAATTTCAGTTGCGTAATTTGGATTGTGTGCAAGGTAAATTTAGTATTGAAAGGTACAAACGAACAAAATTTTATTCACAAATTTACGCTGGACTTTGTATGCTCTGTGTCTCAGAAGAGGGGGGGCAGGGAAGAATAAAGTGGTGGAAATTGATGAGTTTTGCTGATGTTTGAAATTGATATTTCTGATGTTTGAAGAAGCATTCACAATGGTAAGTTCATTTTATTTTATTGTTCTCATTTTGTAGAATGTTCATTTTTTTTTGCTATGAATTTCTATCATTGTTGTTTTTTAATTGTTTGTAATGTATTTTAATTATTTTAGTTTATTTTATTGATTTGTGCGCAGTGTCGAGGCTGTGCGCGATGCCTAGATTGTGCAATTCGCTGATGTTTTTTCAAGTTAAAACAGAATGCTGTATACATGGGATTGTTTGGAATTTATTGTTGCTTATGAAGAATTTATAGTTAATTTTAGCAAGGTGTGGAAATTCCTAGATTCCTACACGGCATAGATTGTGCAGTTCTCCGATGTTTTTTTTTAAGTTAAAACAGTTCGCTGTGTACATGGATTCTTGTCAAATACTTTTGGTTGGAAACTTTGTTTTTGCTATCTAAATTTTTTGTTTCAGATTTTTGGCGTAAATTGTGTGTTAAAAACGTGGTTTTTGTAGACATTTTAGGCTTAAAGTTCGAAATGTAGACAAAAAACTTAAGATAGTAATATGGCGCCATGGAGTTTCTTGCCAAATGTGTTTGCCGAGAAATTTGGATTAATCTTTGGATTATGGTAATTTGGTGATTTTTGGCGAAAATTTGTTAACCAACCCTGCTACAGCAACCTTCTACTTTTTTTTTCGTCGCCATTTTGTCTTCATGAAGTAAAGGCAGGTTTCTTTTTTTTTATTTACTCATATTTTTTTCCAACAATCTGCTACCCGAAATTACGCTTATGCTAGAAATTTTGTGGAACAAAAGTGCTTAATCATGACGAATATTAACTGCAAAATTGGGAAAGTGCAGAATCGCAAACTCCTTGCCGCATTTTTCAGAATGGCACATACACAGTAACCATGTACACGTTGCCCTATTTTTACTTAAAAAAACATCCCAGAATTGCACAAAAATGTCATTGCGCACACTCTTGACTTTATCCATGTACACTACTTTTTTCTCATAAATTAGAAAAATTTGCACGAAAATGCAGGAAAATTTTGTGAATCTTTAAAGTTGGTAAAAAGGACATATATGAAATTACCTGATCGCGAAAAAGTATATACCCTTCCCAAGGATGAACATTTGCACGTCACCTGCGAATTTATAACGCAAACATTAAAAATGGTTGCAAATACTTAGTCTCAAATATTTAAATTATTTCCATGCACGTTTGCTTCTACTGAAACGTATTCCAAAATGCTACAAATATATAATTCACAAAATAACTATCATTTAATTAAAAGAAAGTGCAGTATCGCAAACTCCTTGACGCATTTTTAAGAATGGCACATACACAGTAACCATGTACACGTCGACCTATTTTCACTTAAAAAAACATCCCAGAATTGCACAAAAATGGCATTGCGCACACTCTTGAATTTATCCATGTACACTACTTTATAAAATAAATAAAATATCCAAAAACTGTTCCCTCTAAATTATCTATTATAAACGTCACCTGTGAATTTATAACGCAAACATTAAAAATTGTTGCAAATACTTAGTGTCAAATATTTAAATTATTGCCTTGCACGTTTACTTCTACTGAAACGTATTCCAAAATGCTACAAACATATAATTTACAAAATCACTATCATTTAATTAAAATATAATTAAATTAAAAAACACTACTTAAAATATAAATGAACACATACATTAAATTAATAAAAATTAGCTTAAAATCTTAATTACTTTAAACTAATTCATTGCTAATAACAATTTTCCAATAATAGCATATTAATTTATTTATTCCTTATATTTAGAACAATGCATAAAAATACTAACTTACCTAATCTTCAGAATCTCAATCATATTCTTATGTGCACCTGTTTCAGGATCTTTAAAATTATTCTTATGGTTAACAGCAAGATGTTGAAAACCTTCATCCTCCAAACAGACATATGACTTCCAGCAATCAGATATTATTATTGTACCTGGTAGAATATACTGCTTAATAAAACTTAAAAAGCAATCTTTACTTCTATCTCGCACAACCTTAAAAAAACACTTATTACTACCCCTTTCAATCCCACTAAATACCCATTTCAAATTCACTTTACGTAGGGCCATGGGATCCAAAAATTAATCAACACTGTGTGACGATACAGCTACTAGCACCCCCGCGGGCACAGGTGCTGAATTATAACTTCCTGTTTGTTCGCGGACGAAATGAACCATACCTGCAAAAAGCAGGACTGCAGATAAAATCCCCTGGTAGTTCCCGGACACAAGGAACTAATTATGTTTCTCTTCGCAGATAACAAAATGAGTGAAATCTTTGTGTAAGAGTTCTTCATGTGATTTTGAGGTGACAGGATGCATCTTTTACGTTCTAAACCACGCCAGTGGTTTCTGTAGAACAATAGTTTTTTTTATGCTGTAACTACAGTAAAGAGAACGCTTTTTCGCGTCCAATCTGCGTTAGCGGATATTGTATGATTTAGGGCTGTAATGAATCATTTTATTTTTATGTTTTAATCAAGAAATCTATTTTAGTTTATCAAATAAATAATTTAAAAGACAACCTGTCTTTCTTTCACTCGACACGGGTGTACTGACGTTACAACTCTTTCACACAACACAGAATGAAGCTAAATACAAAATGCTATAAAGTACTGCAGATATTTTTCCAGATTCCCCCCTTTTCCGATTAAAGAACTGTGATTCATCCATATATGTCACATGACATATCTCATGATCTCTCATTTCTCTCAGACAAAATAATCCGTTATTGGAACTGGGTACTTCTCACATTATTGCCAAAGTTAGGTAGTAACCTTTATCGCCTATCAAAATCTCGCCAAACTGCCTGTTACCATATTCCGAAGATTAGCCGTATTAATAAAGTGATTTAACTTTTCGAAGTAACTAGTTAATTTTTTAACTAACTTTTTCGAAAATCTGGTCCAGATTCACTAGGAGTTTGATAAGTGTATAACTGTTTCCAAAATTATTATTTTTTCTTCTACTGTTACTATTTTTAAAAAAATGATGGTGACAATTTTCTTATTTTGAGGAAAGTGCATCTTTTTGAGACACACATTAAAGTTCTTTATTTCATTTGCAGCAGTATTTGTAGGGAGGATTTCTTAATTCTATTTGTAACTGTAGAACTGTACTCATTAATATGGAAATAACAGAGTTCGTACGGTCCTTAAATTTTTTTGAATCGATTTTTGGTCCTTAAAAGTCCTTAATTTTGGCCATTGAATTGGACGCGGCGCGCAATGAATTAGAATTTGATCTGTCAGCACTATCCTTATTTTCAGGGAAGATGTTTTTATTTTATTTGGCTTATGATTCCTTACTGAATGTAGTATTTCATCTCGATGTATTCCGTCTTTGATATGATTTAAATCAAATTCCTCGTCATTATAATTCACTTCCGATAGTGAAGAAAGTGACACAGAGGTTATTGAAAACGAAAAAATTTCGATTGTCAAATTAGTCCGTATTCTCGACACAATAGGACTTGAACACCGGAATTTTGTAACTGAAGGAGAAATTATGTTTGTTTATAGAATTAAAGAGAAAGTACTATGACATAAAACGAAGCAACTTAAACAACTTACATTGAAAGAAATGTAATAAAGTAACAATAAATTATACGTTTTTTTTTTTTTTTTTTGTAAATTTTGATACCCTTTAGATCTATTGTTCTTTATTTCAAAATTATGTTTCATATTTTTTTATAATTTCTAATTCTGCATGCCATCGTACCAGATAAAACTAATGATCTATAATCTGGAAACGCCGAGTCCCTACGAGTCCAGATTAACGCTTTGACTGTACTACATTAGTAAGGAATATACCCAAATAAAATAAAAAACATCTGCCCTGAAGTAAGGATAGTGCTGACAGATCAACTTCCAATTCATTGCGCGCCGCGGCTTTCCCCCCCCCCTGCCGAGAGCAGCGTGAAATTGATGAACAGATTTCGGATTTTCAAAACATACTTCGCTTTGTAGATCCTTACATATTAGAAATATATATCGGAAATTCTATTTGACATAATTGAAAGTTCAAGCTTATTTTTATAAAATTTCTCTAACAGTCTGAAAAAAATAATAAGCCGGATCCAATTCGAAGATTAAGGAACAACGCAATCTGCAACATTAACTGAATTAGATAATTTTAGCTTAGCTTATACCGTCTGTCATACATTAAACATAAACGTATTATGCGCTTGCGCACATGCATATTCGCAGCCGTAAAGGTCTTACGCGCACGCATGAACACCTATGCGCATGCATCAACGCTCCACATGCGCAGAAAGTTTTTAGCTTTGAGGTCTGGATTATGGATCATTCCGAGTTATGGGTGTCCGAATTAACGACTTTTGACTGTAGTTTCATGGTTTCGAAGACCTTGTGCAATAAACTCTGTCACTGTATAGGGTTGATGGATCGTGAAGTTTTTCTTCCTGAAGCCATGCTGCTGAGGAATAAGGATTTTGTTGTCTTGTACGAAGCTGTTGAAACGATGGAGAATAACTGCTTCAGCAATTTTGCTTAGTGTGGAAAAGTTATCAGATGGTAAGCAGCCAGATCAGTAGGGTTCTTTTCAAGCTTCAAAATCGGAGTAATGATGGAAGTCTCGGATTCAAGCGCTTTATTAGATAACAAATATACACACAGATTTTCTGCCTCTCAGAATGACCATCTGTGAAAATGACCAGTATTTTTGATCACATAAATAAATGGATATCGAATAAATCAATATATAAAGTCATTTTTCTAACATTATTACCTCCATTGCAGACCAAAAATCAAACCATAGAGAAAAACTTATATGCTTTTCAAGAGATTAATATGTATGGGTATTAAAGGACCTTTCCCTCCCCAGAAGAAATGGGAAATTATTTCATAACAGATACATATTTTGCTCTTCTTTGTTACACAAGGTATCTGAATAAATAATTTCTGACTTCTTAAAATGTTACCTTAATGTGTAGTTTTTAAAATTAAATTTTGGGTTAAATGGGCCAAAATGCTAGTTATGGTTAATTGGTAGTGATTATACTACTGTATGCTTTTTATTATTTAATATTAAAATCACCACATATCAGTAATTATGAGGTAGTTTAACAAATATTTATTCATGTTACAGGTGCAAAAATATTTAGTGCTTGGCTTGCTGTTACAGTAGCTTCGTACTATGTTTATGGACAATGTATAAGATTCAGAAAGTAAGTTTTCTGTTTATTTGGAATAGAGGATTAATTTCTGCTGCATGTGTTTTAAAACTGTTAATACTTTTTAGCAAAATAAGAAGAGAAAATGAGGAAGTGACTGTAGCTTTAGAACCTCTTCTTATGGCTGAAAGAGATAGAATGTAAGTGTTTTATGCATTTCATATTAAGTGATATCTCCTTAAATGTTGTCATATTTACTTAAAAGGAATTAAAAAAGGCTTAAAAAATAGCATTTCTTGCAAATATTTTAAGTTTATGAACTACATAAATGCGTAACATATGATTGTATAAAGTAGACATTAATTCAAGAGAATATTATTCTCTATTTTTATGTCTTTCATATTTTTATTCAAGATTTTATATAATTTAAAATTTAAAAATTACATATTATTGTAAATTATGTTTGATCAGTACTCTAAATCTGCGATTGCCAACTGGTGGTCTGTGAAAAACTATTGATGGTCCGCAGAAAAGTTGGGACATTAAATTTTTATGAAGATTCATTTTAAAAAATAATGTACAAAAACATATTAAAGAATTTGGATTATACTTTTTTTTAAAAAAACAATTTTTAGCTACTAAATTCTTTTAGTGACTTTGCAGGTTTACTAAAGACATTTGAAAATGAGAGTTTGCAACCATGGACATGCTGTCGTTATCAAGAATAGTGTGAACTGGATTTTTTTGTCCTTCTGAATTACAAGCATATACTATTGCAGTCGCTTTCTGTGTCAAAAGACAACTTGATTGATTTTTATGAGAACCATATGCATTCTTGTTTATAATCTCATCACTCGATGTTTCCCTTTTTGTACGGCATTCGGAACATCTCAACTTAAAATTACATTTTGCGATAAAATGTTTCTTACTAAGACAATTTATTGTTTTTAACTATTTCATAACGTTGATTTGGATTTAATTTTAAAAATGAGTCACATTTATATAGCGTATAATTATGATGTTTACAAAAATTTAAAATTGCCGTCATAACACTTCATTTTGTTGATATTGCTTTGCATTGCTGGTTTGGTCTTGATTTTCATGAAGTTCCTTTTTAGTGATATGGAAATGTAAATAGAGACGTAAATAATTGACAATACAGTTACAGTGTATTCTATTAAGATTGAAAAAATAGCAATCTTGACTATTAGTTGATAAACGCATATGCAAGGTTTTTGTACTTTTTGTATAATTTTTCAGCGTGAACAAAATATATCAATTGTGTTTTAGTACATACTCATAATATTTAAAACTGTGTATAATCAGCATTATTTAGTAGAAATATTAAGGGGACAGTAGACCATTTTTTTCCTTCAATTATTAATGTAGAATAAATAAATTTTGCAAACATATAGTTAATATCATCGCCATATTATTTACCACAAAATAAAAGTTAAAATGTTTTAAAATTAAAATTTTTTTAATAAGAATTTTAAAATGCTCCCTCTGTTCCATTTTTTTACTTTTTTCAATAGGTTTAACCTAATAATCACATAAATTTAAAATTAAGTAAAAGTATATTTAAAATAATTCTATTCATTCATTAATAGTTTTGTTAACCTTTTTTTAAAAAAATATTTTATTGCATTTTCTTTAACTTTTTCTGTACTTGCATTTTAAGTTTTGTTTCACACTTACTTTTAATTATTATACATTCCATTATCTGTGTGCCTGAATTTACTATTTATGAAGTATTTCTGAATTCTTTTATTGTTATTAACTTACTTTGTGTGTAAAATGAATATTTTATTGAAATTGTCATAATGACTTTTATTATTTCATGTATAATGTATGTATGTTTGCAGTTTTAAAGATTTATCTGTCCCAAAGATAAAGTACATGATTGTACTATGTCTAATGTTAATTTTTTTTTTGTCCTAGATGCTGTAAGCTCAAAATAGTTTTAAACATTTCACTCAACTAGCAACTGTATTAAAAAAGTAAATTAACTTCTGGCCCATTCATAGAAATTCCTTGGCCAATTGAAGACAACTGGTTTTCTTCATTGGATCAATAGCACTTATTTTTCTTTTTCTAATATTTACTTAGCATTTCATAATTGTAATGTCTATTTCAAGATATGTGTAATACAAAAAGTAATATTTACATTTACACATACAAAACTGTAAAATTGTCAAATTTGACGATTTTTAGGAACGCTTTGTATAAATGGGCCATCCATAGCAACCTTACCCTAAACCTAAAGTAAACTGAAATGGCTCATAGGTAATTTTTGTAACATTATATATATATATGCTTATTGTAGGCATATCGTAGTTTTATTTTTTTCCTACCATCAAACATATATAAATTTATTGTTCCAAAGTCTGTTTATATATCCATTATATATTTTTCGTATATCACTGATCTGTCTTGCGACGACAGTGTAAACACTTAATTCCAGTCATCGTTATCAAGACCTCATTTCTGACTATCAAAAATGAATACCCATCACCGAATGAAAAAGCAATGAAAATTTTAATTTTCAAAACATATTTGTGCAAAAAGACATTTTCACGTGTAACAGCAATTAAAACTCAGTATGGGTCTCAGCTTGAAATAAACATGCCTCTCCATCTTGCACTGATGTCATTGGAACCAAATATCCACCAACTGATTTAAAAAAAAAAGGAACAAATACCTTACTAAAAATATGTAATACGTAAATATTTCATTAAAAAAATAATTACGCTATAACTTTGTTACCTTTAATAAATGCATTTCAAATTAATAAAATAAAAGTTTTCAGATTATTATTGTACAAATATATTCCCTTTTATTTTTCCTAAATTTACATTAGTGGTCCACCAAATATAAAATTATGCTTTTAGTGGTCCATGAAGTTCTAAAGGTTGGCGACCACTGCTCTAAATTGCACCCAAAAAATATATATGTCTGTTTACTACATATAGTGGTTTAAAGGGTATCAAAATTTACCAAAAAAAAAAAAAAAAAAAAAGTTTAATATTTATTTGCTTACTTTATTAAACATTTCTTTCAATGTAAGTTTAAGTTGCTTCGTTTTTTTTTTTGTACTAATACTTTCTCTTTAATTCTATAAACAGACATAATTTCTTGTTCAGTTACAAAGTTCTACTGTTCCAAGTCCTGTAATTGCTGTGTCGAGAATACTGACTAACTTGTCAATCAAAATTCTTTCATTTTCAAAAACCTCTCTTATTTTCTTCAGTATCGGAAGCGCGCATGTGTAAATGCTTTACTGGCTTTAACGCGCATGCATAAGTTTGTGGCTTTGAGGTCCGAATTATAGATCATTCCGGATAATAGACGTCCAGATTACGGACTTTGTACTGTATTGCCAATATTGCGTTGAATGCTGGCCAACCCAGAAGTCAAGTACAAAGTTGCTATAGAAAGTAAAATATCACATATTTTGCACTAAAAACTGTCCCTAAATAAAGATTTATTTTCTGATACTTACAGAGACAATTTTAACACTTTCACTGCTGGGCACGTGAAGTTGTGTTGATAGTTAATGCTGTGTTTTAGAAATAAATTGTATCTATATGGAAACTTACTTATTATAAGAAATATGATTTAAAAGAGGTGATAAAAGATTATTATGTATACCATATTGATTACTAAGGCTTTAAGCATAGAATTTTATGACTATGTGCTAGTGCGTGATCGGCACTAGAGATAAAATTATTTTTGCAATCCTGTATTGGCTCAAGGTATATAAAAATGAATCAAAATGAATTATAAGGTGCATTACTTTTGTATGAAACTATATCACATATATATATTACAAATCAATTTATTATAAGATAGTTACAATGACGATTGTATACCATATTGATTACTAAGGCTTTAAGCATAGAATTTTATGACTATGTGCTAGTGCGTGATCGGCACTAGAGATAAAATTATTTTTACAATCCCGCATTGGCTCAAGGTATTTAAAAATGAATCAAAATGAATTATAAAATGCATTACTTTTGTATGAAACTATATCACATATATATATATTGCACATCAATTTATTATAAGATAGTTACAATGATGATTGTAAACTACATATTTCAGTCTTATTCATGTATGATCTTTGCATGAAATGAAATTTGTTTTCCTTTCAAACCACATACATTTACAATCAGTTTCTAACCTTTACTCCATGCCAATGCCAGCGTACATATTCAAAACGCAGTGCCGATTGAATTTGAAAATAAACAATGAGACGTGTTTTCCGTGCCAAAGCATTGATTGGCCCTTCAGTAATAATGACAGTCACACGCTAGTGCATGATCGGCAGTGAATGTGTCAAGCATATTCTGCGTTAGGTTATGGAAATGTTTACTTTGGCTATTTTATGCTAAAAGTGGAATTTTAAAAATTTAAACTTTTCTTCAGAAATATAAACTAAGTAGTATTATAATAGTATAGTTAAAGAGCTATGCAATCAAATCTGTATATCTAGAACGATAAAAATTAAACTAAATCTGTAATAAGATATGGGTGGCTGATAAAACCTGATTTTTAATTCAAACTGTGAAAGATTTTCTCAAGCTGGCATTGTTCAAATTGATTAGATACTTTTTCTCCTGGTTATAATATCTCAAGTTTTTAAATGATATATTTACATTTGTATTTTATTTATTAAAAAATATTGTATATTATTTAAATAAATTTAAAAACAAGTTTGCTATAATACAAAATTATATTTTAAATATTGGAGATTTTTTTAAAGCCATAAATAAATGATAATCATAATTCATTCTCATTGAAGAAGTTAAATTTGAATAGATACTTTTTATGTTATGTTAAAATAATAGTATTATGAAAGGCTAAAGGTATTTCTCAGCAAATTTAAAAGTAATCAAGTCTAAATTTTAAGTAATTTTTTGATGTAATTATAATTAATATTTTTTGTTTTGCAGCTTTTTGAATCAGCTGCGTAAAAACAGAGAAGAGGAGGCTGAGCTAATGAAGAATGTACCTGGCTGGAAAGTTGGTACTTTATATGGCGAGCCTTTGTACAAAACTGTTGGAGACAACATAATACATCCATTAGGAGTTGAATACTATGTGCATAGTGAGCCTAATGCAAAAAATTATATGTTTTATTATGACATGAGCATGTAAAAACACTTATAGCTAGTTTTAAAAGCTTTCAATATGTAAAACTTTATTAGAATAAAGGAATTCCAGAATAATTATTCCAGTAATTATATATTCAACAGAATGCAAATGTAAAAACATATAGATTTTGATTAAAAAAGGTTTTATTCTAAAATTATCATACATAATACTATTTACAAATATATTAATAGAACACATTCAACCTGCTGTGTCTAATAAACTCTGTAAAGATGTTGGCACCCATGTCTTTTGGTTGAACACAAAAATAACACCTCTGTCCAAATATAACAAACTGCTGCCAAATCTATGAACTTGCTTGCCTTCTTGAAATCGGCCTGGCACTGGCATGAAAAGTATATTACTTTCTTCAGCCTAAAAGGAAACATGAAAAATTAACTTTTGTACAGGAATCTGATGTGAATTAAATCTTTTATCACATAAAATCAAAATTTTCAGTATTTGTTGGCTATCTGTAAACAATTTATTGGTAGTTTTGGCAATGAAATCGATGTTTCAATTTCCAGTGAATATTGTTTGGAACTTGCATTCATAGGGCAGATTGTTATTCTCTGCAATCTCTTTCTTTCAGGCATGGCTACAGCATTTTCAGTGCCCTAGATAATCTGTATAGTTGGCATTGCATAAAATCTAAACATATTAATGATTTAAAGCAACATAGGTGCTTAATAGTTAAGCACTGGCCCGGGCCTCCGCATGAATTCTTGTAAAAACGATAAGTAATTGATGAGCTCCCATATGGGTTTCATTGATTTCAAGACTGGTGTCAGACCTCACACAAATAAATAGCTTGAAGAAATAATAAAAATGAAACCAAAATATGTACATTCACTAATTGAGAAGGGGGAAGAACAAAAAAGAAAAATAGTTGCAACAGTTACCGAGAGATGGTGCCACCCCTACAAATAATGTTGCAATAATCAGCAAAATCAAGAAGCAGTCATTTCTGCCTGTAATGTGGTATGAGATGCCACTTAGTTTGCTAAATTTGATTTTATATGTTAGCAGCTCTAAGGAAATGTGGAAGGAATGTGTAAAGGAAAATATACTTTGCCACAGTGTTCAATGAGAAGAATGGGGGAAAAAATTAGAGAAGATTGGATCGTGTGCTGCAAAATGTCGAAAGGGAAGGAAACCAGCAGTTCTCCTTATACAAGAAATTGCCATTGCAATTGTAGCGTCATCTGAGACTCCAGAAGCCAATCCTAGTACACATGGAGTTGCTCAAGAGTTGGATATTCCATATGCTACTGTTCAAAAAATAATGAGAAAGGAAATCCAATTTTATCCTTATAAAATTAGTTGTAATCAGCAATTGTTACCAAGTGATGCACAGCAAAGACTGGATTTTGCTCTAATGTTTCTAGCACAAATGGATGTGGATGATGCCTTCCCATGCAAGATTTTATGGGGAGATGAAGCCCACTTTCATTTAAATGGGACAGTCAATAGACAAACCTGTAGAATATGGACTTTGGAGCTACCAAATATTATTCAAGAAAGACCTCTCTACTCTCCAAACCTCACAATATGATGTGCCTTTACAGGAAATTTCATTCTTGGTCCTTACTTTTTAGGAGTTACTGCCATGGACCTGTAACATGATCAGTTACTGCACATGTTGCAAACATTCTTAGTTCTTAAACTGCAGCTAAGACGGTGCCTTATTGAAATTTTTTTTGATAGAAGATGGAGCCTCACTTCATATTGGACAAGCAGTACAACAGTTCTTACGACATTTCACAGATAGAGTAATACGTCACTATTTTCGTATGGCGTAGTCTCCTCGATCCCCTGATCTGATGCTGTATGATTTTTGGCTTTGGGGGTCTTTAAAATGTAATGTGTACCATGTAGGTGTTGCAAACCTCAGTGACCTAAAAGATTGCAAAACACAACATGTGCAAAACATTGCTCCTGATTCATTACACTCCGTTTTTAAGAACGTCGTGCACTGCCTGGATTATGTCATCCAACTTAACAGCCATGTAGAACCTGAACTTGATTGACACCGTCACGCATAAGCAAAAAAATCACATTATCTGTAACATTTTTCAGTAAATTTGATATGCCATCTGTTTTTATGGTTCTATCTTTGTTCTTGTATTATACATTCAAAAATGCCATCTATTTTTTTTATTATTCTATTTTCCTCCCCTCTTCTTGATTAGTAAATATACCCAATTTTGGTTTCAATCGGATTATTCGTTCAAGTTACAAACAGCTTCAAACGGAGATACTTATTTTACAATCACCTATACCAGGTGGTTGTAAAGCAGATTTTTAAATTTAATGTCTTTTCAGTATATCAGACTTAAGTAGCTCATAAAATGAATAGATAACTATACTTTCAATTATTAACACTTCTCGAAGCAGTATAAAATGATCACACCGTTCAAATAATTATATCTGACATGGATATAAGATTATAATATTTACATTGCTTTTCACCGATATCATACCATGCAAATTCTAGTACTTAATCATACATTCTTAATTAGGGAAAATTTAATACTAAAAAGATGACTGCCATCATTTTAGTTTCAGATTTACTTTTGATTATTATGTATTTATTTGTGAGCTCAGGCTGATGAAGTTTTGTAATTCATCCTAACTCTACATGGTGTACCTCTACAAAACTTAATTCAGTTATAAAAAGGAGATCAAATATGTCTCATACTTGTTTAGCCTAGAGCTATCATTTTGATGACATTACAAAAAACACATAGAAATCTTTAAAACAATTCTGTAAAATGCTCTTGTAAATAAGTACTTTTGAAGTCCCGTTTTGTTTTTGGCAAATCATTTTTCACTTAGTGATGGTTTAGTTACTTTGTTCCTTTGAGTGATTTGTAACATGATGGAATCCATGGAACAGTACCACTTCATATACGGCTCAATATCCAAATTTATTATAACTTAATGTTTGCTGGAGGGAAAATATTCTAAATTTAATATAGTGAACTTATTTTTACAAAATTATATGTTAAATATACGAGGGTTGGGGCAAAAGTCATGGCAACTATTTTTTTCTTGTAGATATGCGAACGGATCACAGAACGTATATATGTCGTGTAGAAGTTCTGCAGGCATAGTGTTGTATGCAGAACAACAGATGGCTCTGAAATCAGTCAGTTGGTGAGTGGCGTGCGAGATGGAAGTAACCCGTGTTGAGCAGCGCGCTTACATCAAAATAGCCGCTCTCTAAGGAGAAATGCGATGGAATGTCAGTGAATTAGTAAAACCCTTGGGAATAATGCCCTACCATATCGTACAGTAGCACGGTGGGTAGGAAAGTTTCAGCAAGGACGTGTGTCAACCAGTGATGAGCAACGTTCGGAACGACTGGTGAGTGTGTGGACCAACTTGGCGCGTGCCGTCATCGAGCACCTCATGGATGAAGACAGATGATGGACATTACTGTAGTTAGAGAGGGCAAGAGAGAGCATCGAGAAATGCACCATCCACAGGATATGGCGTAATGAGCTAGCGTCAGAATCCTTCCCCAGTCAAACCGATGGTGATCGTCGCGCATGGCGTCAGGAGTGTCATTGTTTGCCACTTTGTTCCTCATGGCAGAACAGTGACCGCACAGTACTACAGGGACTTCCTGGTGCGACAGGTACAACGTGGCGTTCCGGATAAACATCCAGATCTTGTGGACAGTGCAATAATTCTGCACGACAATGCAAGACCACATAAAGCAGAGTGTGTACGGCAGCTACTGTGACGTTGGGGATGGGAAGAATTGGAGCACCCACCATGCTCTCCTGACTTTCGCCCTGTGACTTTGATCTCATTCCCAAGATTAAGGAACCAATACGTGGTAGGCGATTTGCAACACGAGAGGACATTGCTAATGCTGTGGCTGATGGTATTCAGCACCTCCCACATCATTGGCAGCGTATGGTGACAGCAGGAGACTACATTGAGGGTCTTTAAGCCCAGGTTTGTCATGTGAACTTTATGTGTATTGTGTTATCATTCTTTTGCACGGTGAAGGCTATATTGTCTTGTATACTACCGCAAAAAATTCGTGTGTTACGATATTTCAGTGCTATTCATTGTCCACACATGTAGTTAAGACTTTGTCCTTTCGTCTGTATATGTCATTTTTCAATCGGACTGGTATCTTCAAGAAAAAAAGTAGTTGCCATGACTTTTGCCCAAACCTACGTATTACATTCTTGGTTTTAACTCAACCTGCCAAAATGATGGCTTATCTCTTGGTAAGAAAAAAAAAATCCTGTCTTTCTGTGTTAATTATTGAGATAAAAACTAACAAGATGCCTTATTACAACAGTAATCATTTAAAAAATTAAATATGTCATTTCTGAAATGACAAAAAATTTTATTGCTTGTGGTCACATATTCAGGAAACTATGCCTGAGAAAAATCTTTACTGATCACAGTATGAAGGTAATAAAGGCTTTTTTGTTTCTTTGTTTTATTTTATGAGTTAACAAAGAGAACACTGTGGGATTAACCAGTAATTTCAATAATACTGACATACATAATAAATTTATCATAAAATAATCTGGTAAAATCAAAGCTATACGTTTAAAAAGTATTTTGGAAGTGAATAAACTCACGCTTGACATTTGTTCACTGCCAAAGTCATTTAAATTCGGCTTTCAAGAATCAGCTTAATTTTAAATTACTGAAAAGTTATCTAGAGAGATGAATTTATTTTCAGTTGCACTATGTGGGCGAACTCTTTGCAGTGAAATACAATGATTAATAAATAAATATTTGGCATTGAATTATTTGCTCATCTTAAAGCCCAAGATACCATCAGCCGAGTAGTAGTATTTAAGTATTCATATATAATTTCCCTGTTCCTCAAGGTGTTCAGAAAGCAAGCTTTATTAAATATTATAACAGATTTATCCATAAAATGATTCTTTCATCTTATTAAATGATTAATTTGGGAATTTGTAGCAAATGACACAGATAGTAGTTCCAGCAACAATAAATGATTTGAAGCCTAGGGAGGAGCAGTGGAATAAAAGCAAACGAAATACAGGAAGTTGGGCTAATCTTTGGAATATGGTAACAGGTAGTTTGTAGACATTTTGGTAAGGCGATAAAAGTTACTAGCTAGGACTTTAGTAGTGTACATGGATAAAGTCAAGAGTGTGCACAATGCCATTTTTGTGCAATTCTGGGATTTTTTTAAAGTGAAAATAGGTCAACATGTACATGGATGATACCGTGTATGTGCAATTCTTAAAAACGTGGCAAGCAGTTTGCGATTCTGCACTTTCTCCCAATTTCGCACCTAATCTTCGTCATGATTAAGCATTTTTGTTCCATAAAAGTTCTAATATAAGCGTAATTCGGCTAGCAGATTGTTGGAAAAAATGTTGAGGGGGAAAAAAAAAAAAAAAAAAGCCTTTACTTCGTGAAAACAAAACGGCGTCAAAAACAAAACTAGCAGGTTGCTGTAGCAGGGTTGGTTGTCAAATTTTCGCCAAAAAATCGCCAAGTTACCATAATCCAAAGATTAACCGGAAGTTGAAATGAAGATATCTTATTGGATTGGATTGGATTATTTAATTAAGGCAAAGCACACGAGGGCTATCTGCCTAAAGGGAAGGATGCCTTCATGGAGGACTTTCTAAGGGAAACTGGCTCGTATACACGTTACACATGGGGAAAATCACGAAAACGCCCATGCAGCCAGCCCGTTCGCAGGATTCGAACCTCGGACCGAACTACCAGTGTTCAGCATCTTTACCGCTCGGCCACTGGTGGGCTCTTATTGGATATTGGTAATGTTAATATTACTATGTAATCTAATTGGAAAGTAGGTTTCTTTTAAATGAATAATACTGTGATAGTTACTGGTAGTTTATTCTTAAATACTTTTCATTAATGTTCTTGCTGTAAACATATCTTTTAGAATTATTTGCATAATTCTCCCCTTTTTTTGCTGTGATTCTTACTTGAGAAAAAGACAAAATACTTTCGCATTTATTAATTATTGTTAGCTAATCAAAAGTTTGTTTGTTACCATTGAAAAGCCAACTATTTCTGGTCAATGGCGATAATTACTTAGTTTGTTAGTTGCATTTTCACTTTTAATTATACCTTTTTAATGATTCTATTTTAAATATGCTAATGAGTAAATTCATTTCAATAGAATTCTAACTAATTTTTTCCAAAGGAAATAATATATTAAATAATCTACTAGAAAATAAATTATATATATAATAAATCACTCCATGCATAACTGTTAAATATATCCATATTATCATATTTTAAAAGGGCTGAAAAGAGGATAAAAGTTTTGTTTAGTGCATTTGAATTAAAAAATTAAAACATAACTCATCAACTATAAAAGGCTGGTTACCTCTAGTCTATTTTTAACCATTTAGAATAAAGATATTTTGTGAATATATTTTTTACCAATTAAAAAACTTTTAGAAACATACAGTTATATAGTGATTTAATTGACAGTGTTAAAGTCAATTAAGTGGAGGACTGGTCAACAGATTATAGCAAAATATGTGCAGACTAAGTGTTTAAGGAGAGATGTCTTCATGAAAGACTTTCTAAGGGAAAATGGTTTATATTCATATGACCATTTCCTAAAAATCAAACCTTGTCCCCTATATGATGCCATAATATATTCAGGGACAACATGAAGATGATAAGTAAAGACAACCAAACGGACATACGTAGAACTAGTATTCAGCAGTCTTAACCACTCATGCCTAATTAGTAGGCAAGTTAAATAGGCCATACTCTTTAATAATTATGCTAAATTTTATATTCTGGGCATGCTTAGTTGTGTGGCATTTATACAAAGCTCATCAGAAAGTATACCGTTTGGGTATTAAAAAAGATAAACAATTTGATTTCATTTGTATTTTATTATAAAAAAATCTACACAAAACAATTTTTTTGACATATTCACCATGCGAATTAAGGCATGAGTCATATCTTGGCACTAATTGCAACATACCTGCTTTGTAGAATTCAGGCGCTTGCGAACTGAATCAGTTATGTAAACACTGAACTCATCATCATTTGTTGCCAACCAAGAAAGGAAGTCGGATGGAGCTAGGTCTTGGCTATGGGAGGGTGACAATTGTTCCCAGCAAAATGAATCAAGCAGCATCGGCGTTATGTGTGCTACGCGATTGCGTGTTGTATCACATACTGCAACTTCTTTGATGTATCATGATAAGCTGTAGTGTTATTTGTCATGCCTTGTTCCACCCAATCCACTAATAAAATTCCTTGGCAGTCTTAAAATACAGTGCTTTTTTAAAAATGATTTTTCTTGAAGAAAGAGGTAGCTTTGATGTTTTGGGTTTTAAGAAATCAGTATGCCAATGTCGTTTTCCTTGGTGTTTCATAGCCTGTAACAATCCTTTTCAAAGGATCATTTCCTTCTGTTGCAAAACTCTTAAAAAAACTCCAAGGCTGCTCTTATGCATTTTGGTTTTTGAATGTCCATTAGTGTTCATGGTATCAACCATGAACACAGCTTTTTTGTAGTGCAAAAGTTCAGTCACAATTTCATGTAATGCGATGCTGAAATGTTTTGAAAATGCATTGGCAAATCAGAAATTGTGAATCGCCTATTGCAGTGGTTCTCAATCTTTTGACTATTGCGTACCATCTAAACCAAAATTGAAAACTTTTAGTACCACCACTACAAAGTACTACTACCACCACCACTCTTGAACAAAATTCAGGTCGCATAAATTTATCAGTGTTAGAGAAAAAAACTCAATCAGGATGTTGGGGTTTCAATTTTTGAATTAATAGTTAATATTTCTTTGCATCTTTGTGAACCACCTATTTTTCTGTTGTGTACCACCGGTTGAGAACCCCTGGCCTATTGAAACAAACTTTTTCGTCAATACAGCACACCAATTCTTAAGTGATCAACAACAGGACTCCATTATGCTCTCTGTTCTGGGCATTTCTTCTTTCATTAAACATACTAACCCACACTGGCACCATACCTTCACTCATTGCATTCTCTCTGTTAAGTTTCACTTATTGAACGATAATTTTCAAATGGTTGAATGTTTCTCGCATTTGAAAACTTGGTTATTATGGCTTTTACTTCACAGTTAGCAGGTCGATCTATATTTTTTAACATGATTACCGACAAACAATTAAATTAACCTTAAAAAAAAAAAGAAGAAGAAGAAGAAGAGGGCGAGGCTAATTCACTCTTGAGTTTAAGAATGTAACCACACATGCGTGACCTTTGTGCTGTCAGATGTACGAGAGATATGCACAAACGGTACTTAATGGATCAGCTTTGTATAAAATTTTACATACATGATCTTACCTTTTTCTCAATAAGTTCTTTAAAGGATAATGTGAGGGAAGCTGCAGATGTAGATCCACGAATAGTCTGCATCATGGCCTACAAAAACAATTCATTTATTAAAAGAAATTCATAAAATGTTTTAATGGTGGATATTAAAAAAATATTAAAAATCTGAAAGTATATTATGCACAAAAAAAGCATTTTTTTTTTCATTTATAGACACATACACATTTTGAGAGCATATGGGCTAATGCCACATTATGCTAAAAATATTTAAAAACAGCATATCTTAAAAATTTACAACATCCTTGCTTGCTGGACATAAAAGTGTTTTATTCCCTACAGTGTTTGCCACTGCCTGCTTTGAAGTTGATGAGTTTTTTAATCAAAAATTCATTAAAAGTTTTATATATAATAAAATTAATTTGGGTTTCTAGGTTTAGGCAGAGGACTATGTTATTCAAAATTTGATGACTCTATGTACCATTGTTTTTTCACAATGCAAGAAACATATATACATCCATGTAAATTTCTCATTATTTAGTTTATTTAAATGTAACACAGGGCGATAATATCTGGTGGCAGCAATTTGTAAAGTAATTCGATGCAAAATGCTGTTTTGAGACCAGTAGCTGTTCTGGGCCAAAATAATAATAAAAAAAATATATATATATATATAAATAAACTATGCATGGATCTTTGTGGGAAAACTGCACACTAATGTTCAGATTTCGAAGCTACACATGTTTAAGAACAGTGGTCCTTCCACCATGTGAAGTAAAAAAATTGCAATAAATAATATGCATTGCAAATGCTTCAATTATTTCCTTGAAAAAATAACTGAAGAACATTCATCTGTTTGTGGTTTATGAAAAGCACATGAATTTTATCACAAGCATAATTGAAACAAAAAATTAAAAAGTCTTGCACCACTTCTTGAAGCACATGAAACTCTTAATATTTAGTGACAAAACAGCACAAGAACATAGCCACATACACATTTTGAGAACTTGCTGATAATCAGAAAGTACTAATTTTAGAAATAAGAGGAATTCAGAATTATGTTGCAAACTGTGTTAGCAGGAATACAATTGAAATTTGGGTGTTTCCCACCTAAACTGACAGTTGGCACTTTTATAAAATATTTGCTTTAATCAATTTATCTAATATTAACAAAAGCAATTACATAACCATTGAAAAAGAATAAATAATATTAATTACTTCATAATCTCTTCTTGGTTTCACATGGCGGTCTAATTCTTGCTGTCTTTCAACATTTGTAAGATATGCCATGCTTTCTTTAGCACCAGGCTGTTGTCCTAGAAGCCCTTGAGGTGCAGACACAGCTCTATTCATAATATCCAGGGCTTGCCTAAACTGTTCTGTTAAAATATTACACTTATGCTCAAAAAATTAATAACAAATACTAAAAAACAAGTTATAAAAAAGGGAATGGAAACATGCACTTTACATATTAGGTAGCTATTACACTGTTGAATGCTATCAGGCAAACAAAGTTAACATATCATGCAATCACACTACAATGCCTGAAATAGGGACATGCCAGACCTATGCATCAGTTCACAGGCAGCTATAGTTTCCTGTCATCTGAGATGGCCAAAGCGGAAAGCATGAGCCGAAGACAACATCAGCCCGATGAAATGTATTGGAAGGCTGATGGGATATTGCAAACTGGTGCAAAACAATCAATCTACTGTTGCGAGAAAGCTGAATGTGCATTGTAGTGTCATCAGTTGGCTGTGGAATCATTACGCAAGGGATCCAAACCTTTGTGGAAGATGTGGGTCTGAACGCTGGAGGATTACCATAATGGCAGATAATCACTTCCTGTTGCTATGTGCAAGGTGTTGTAGATAACCAACAGCACAACAAATGGTGTCAAATCTCGCTACTGCTGCAAGAAGGCCATATCCTGCCAAACTGTGTCGTGTTGACCACATGAAAATGGACTGTAAGCCTGACGACATGGTTTGTGTTCCTTTGCTTCCATCATATGACACATCATGGTTGAATTGGGCCCGTGAACATTCAGTTGGACAGAGCAGTGGGGTCACATACTCTTTACAGATGAGTCTCAATTAACATCCAGAATGATTCCCGAAGGGCAATGATATGGCAAGAGCCAGGGACATACTATAGCACCTAACACTGTTGAAAGAGACCATTATAGAGGAGGAGGCTTACTCATATGGATTGGGTTTAGCAATGGCGGGACTGACCTCTACATGATTCTATCACTACTGTCTGATATCATAATGAAATTCTATACAATCTTGTGCATCCTTTAATTGCTGCAATGGGTACTGATGCAATATTTATGGATGATGACGCCTTCCCGCATAGAGTTTGAGTGGTATAGAGTTATCTGGAGAGTGAAACCATTCCATATCTGGCCTGGCCTGCTAGATCACCAGACATGAATTCCACACAGCATGTGTGGGATATGTTAGGAGAATGGATAGGAGGTCACAATATGCCACCAGGCACTCCAGCGAGCTCTAATATACATTACTATAGGAATGGGAGCTACTGCCACAAGCGATGAACAACACTTGCTAGCTTGCCTTGTTGTTGTCAAGCATGCATTTCAGTTAGAGTGTATCATACCCATTATTAGTGTGATATTTCCATTGCATATTCTTCTGACCTATTGGTTTCTTGCAATGTTAAGGTCATAATACATGTGTTTTTGTATGGTCTTTGCTTTATTGTTTGCTATGTGGTCTAGTAATGCCACAACAACCTCTCGGATCAATTTCTGCATATCCATTACCTAGTTTTTATTTTTTTCTGTGTTTTGTTTTTGTTGCTTATTTTTTGAGTAGTTATGGATTTATATAAATTTATTAGATATGTTATGAATAAAGTTATTAGATATAAATTAAAAATATTTCTTAAAAACTTCTGCACAAAGAAATTTCCTAAAATATGAAAATCATCTGGGAAAACTAATATCAGAACACAAAATATACAAGGATTAGATAAAGAAACTAAAACACATACAGAAGTAATACTTTATTTATAAAGTAGCTTTCTTTGGAGGCTGATTTTGCAGCAACTCTTCATGAAATAACCAGTGCTACTCTTGAACAACTATTCAAGATATTTTTGAACACTTCCCTCAGAAAACAGTGATTATTTCAGTTCATAATACCAGAAGAGACATTTTCTATTTTTATGTTTTAATATTCCCTAAATAAGTTCCATACTCACACGTATGTTCTTCAAACCATCCCATCACAGTTCTATGATGTAAAATACTATTTCTATGATGATTTTGTTTGAATAATCGGAGAGATCTGTTTCTACAGAATGTATCAATTTATCTCAACAGGTGATGTAGCCATCAAGAATAATAATTATTTCCAGAGACTTCCATGATATTTCACCCCAAACAGTCACTAATAAACTTCCCTACAACACTCTCATCATAACTATTCAAAAGTGATACACGTTAATGGTAGTATAATGGTTTGGAGCCATTCATTAATGCTAACAGCCATTCATTTCTAGGTTCATTAACGGGGTGCCATGCTATGTTGATGACTTGCTACAGCCTCATTTTCTTCAATATTTTTAGGGCATCCCATATGCCATTTTTCAACAAGATAATATGTCGCCATACACTGTTAGACTACTCCTGAATGCGATGCAAGTGCTCCCTTGGCCAACTCAATTCTCTATTTTCTTGCTTTTGAGAAACACAATTATATATTTAAAATGAAGCATTCAAAACAGTAATGCCAAATAATGGGGGGAGGGGACTTAATATGTTAGTATTCCATCATAAGTACTGCACAGAGATTTTTAAACTTATATAAGCAAGAAAACACTGCCAACATAGTCAAAATCAGTGTAATAACAGCTCTGAAAATATGGTTTCTCACAAATGGCTCCTAAATGTGCCAGTGTTTAAAGGATTTACAAAGCACATTATACATACACCAGTTTTCTTTTTATTGAAATAAAAGTTTTAACCATTAAATGAAAAGCAAATTTTAAAATAATAAAAAAAAAAGATACCTTTTATAGTGGGATGTGTTAATAAAGAAGGTGGCAGCATGGATTTCCATCCTGTGTACCATTTTGTCACTTCTTCATAGTTTGGACTGTGAGTGAGCCAAGTATAAAGAACTTGTAGCCATTTTGGAAAAAAGTTTTTCTCAAGTAATGTTATCATACATGGCTCAGGCATCATATCCAACCAAGCCATCACCCAGTTCCAGACATCTAGATATAAATACATAATTAAGAACCACACGTTAAAAAAAATGAAAATATATTGACAATAATAAACTGCATTTATAGTTCCGAAAACATCTGCAAAACAATGTGAAAATTTCTTTAAATTGTATTTGGGATATTCTAATTAGATATGAAGTAACATATTAACACATTAGCAGCTGGTGTTGCATTGACGCAACGGTCAAAATAAATGCGTATATAAATATAACTACCTAAGATATTAATTCAGAAGTCAAACAACAAAAATCAGCGTTAATTTACAAAATTTTCACAGGACTAGTTTTCGATGGTTCTGCCGAACCACCATCCTTCAGCTGCAAAACCGCAAATGAACATAGATAAGAAAGCCTGGACAAGAATAAGCAAGTGGCGCCATCTGTTTGATGAAACCAGAAACTAAAACATAATAATTCTCTCTAAAAAGGCCGAAGGCAAATTTGGATTGGAATTAGGATCATTAACTAGAACAGAAAGGATTTTTTTTTTGAATGTGAAATGCTTCTAGAAAATCCATTTCTCGAATGGAAGATGTTTTTTTGAATAATTTTGGCAGCAGAAAAATTGAAAGTGTGATTTTCGGACCAACAATGTTGAGCAACAGAAGACTTCTGTGTTTCCTTTTTTCTAACATATGACTCATGTTCCTTGACGCGAAATTTTAAGGCTCTCTTAGTTTGGCCAATGTAATAAACCACACTGGCAAGGAATCCTATAAATACCCCAGGAATTCATATCCGGAATGGGGTCCTTGGAGTATGGAACTCGGAATTTTATTGATGGGAGAATAAACGACCTGAAAGTAAAATTTCTGCAAAATATGTGCAACTTTATAGCTAATTGATGGGAAGAAGGAATGACGACAGAATTTTTATAACACCCTAAAACAAGAGTGTGCCTTTTAGTGTGTTGAGATGAGAATTTTTTTACTGCTTGATTAATAATGTTAGGTGAAAAGCCCCTGTCAATAGCTATAGCTTTTAAATAATTTAGTTCTTCATCAAGGGATAGTTTGGAGGAGCAAACTTGAAGAGCACGGAAAACATAGGAATAAAATGAAGCTAACTTTTGTTTAGTCGGATGACATGATTTAAAGTGTGGTGGAAGGCAAACCGAATGAAGGTTTACGGTAAACCGTAGTACTGAAAGTTGGATGTGTTATGTGTGACCAGAATGTCGAGAAACGGAAGAGAATTGCAAGTCTCAAGTTCAAAAGTGAATTGAATAGCAGGATCAATAGAATTCATTGTTGAAAGAACTTTATTTAAATCATCTTTATTACCTTCAAACAGGGTAAAAGTATCGTCTACGTAGCGGAACCATGCCGGGAAGTTTAAAGTTTCAAACAATTTTGATTCCTAATAATGCATGTAGATATCAGCCAGGATGGGACTGAGGGGGCTTTCCCATGGCTAATCCCTCAGTTTGCTTGTAATATTTATTTTGGAAAACAAAATGTGTTTGTTTCAAACAGAGTTGAGTGAGAGAAATTAGCTCATCAATTTCGATGCAAGACAAATGAAATTCGCGAAAGTCTGGTTTCTAGACATCTTAATGCACCCTTCCACTGGGACATTGGTGAATAATGATTTTACATCAAAAGAAACCATGAGTAAATTTCTAGGAGAAATGTTTTTAACCTTTTTTACAAACTCTATTGAATTTTTTATTGGTGTAAATGTTATTGTCTAATAGAGTTGAAAATCTAGAAACTAAATATTTAGCTAATGGATATGAGGCAGTACCTGAATTTGATACAATAGGGCGGAAAGGAATACCACTTTTATGAATTTTGGGAAGAGCATATAATCTGGCACAATTCGCAACAGATGGATAAGCGAATGTTTTAAGTTGCTTGAAATGATTTGCGAAGATTTGATTGCAGTTTTTTATTTTGACAGGTCCGAAGGTGAAGGATCTTTAGGGATCGGATTATATGGTCCTTCGTTTAAGAGTTTAGTGACACCATCAATGTAAGTGTTCTTATCCATGACAGACTATCTGGCCACCTTTGTCATGCCTTTGAAATGATAATATACGGGTTAGAATGAATTTCGCGCATTGTAGCTCTTTCTCTCACAGTTAGATTTGGTTTCAAAGGTTTATTATTGAATTTCACATTATGAGCGATAAGATGCCTAATCATTTCTTTCTGTGAATCTGAAACTTTACTGAACTTGAAAGCTTTTTCGATAGGAGCCAAAATCTTTGGAATCGAGAGTTTACAGGTTTGTGAGAAGTTAAAATTATATTTTAGAATTCTCTCTTGTTCTTCTGAAAGACTAACATTAGAAATATTAACTATTGGCTTGATGTTTACAATGGGAAGATTTTTTTAACTACTTGAACTGGAAGACAGTAAAAGAAGTTTTTCGAATTTAGCTGCAAGGGTGTTTTTATGACGATTAACTGCATTCTACGTTCTAGACCAAGACTTTTGTTCAAGGGCAGTGAATTTTGGATATGAATTAGGCGAGTTCCAGATGAAGCTTATAGAGTTCATGTTCAATTTTGGACAATTGTTGACGTGTATCCCTTATGATGGACCGAAGTAAGGCAAGCTTGAAATTTAACAGAATTCTTGAAACGCGACTGGAAGGTTTTTGATTAGATTTGATTTGAATAAAATTGGGAGATCAATTTTTTACATTTACATTTAAGTAAAAAGTCAAGATGATTCAGGAATTTTTGCTGCTTCAGGTGTAATTTAGTGAAACGATTAATGGATGAAGGCATGATAAACAATGCAGAAAATCAAACTAAATTAACTGGCAATAATAAAGCACATACAAAACAGCAGAAAAATCTTTCACTGAAACGAATAGAAAACAAAACGCTTGTAACCAAAATGCATGAAATCAGACAAGCAAAGCACAATATCCAAATGTACGAAACATAAACAGAACTAGAAAATTGCAAAAAAAGTACTTACCGAAACCCATTCAATCACAAAATGGCGGCCACACACCAGCCGTGCAAAAAGAAAGCAAAAGTAAGCCTGTTTGGGACTTCTATAATTAAGACACAATAACACGCCGAATAAATACTAATTCAGAAGTCAAACAACAAAAATCAGCGTTAATTTTACAAAATTTTCACAGGACTAGTTTCGATGGTTTTTACCGAACCATCATCTTCAGCTGCAAAACCGCAAATGAACAAGATAGGAAATAATGTTTAGATAAGATAAGAAAGCCTGGACAAGAATAAGCAAGTGGCGCCATCTGTTGACGAAACCAGAACTAAAACATAATTTCTCTAAAAGCCGAAGGCAAATTTGGATTGGAATTAGGATCGTTAACTAGAACAGAAAGATTTTTTATGAATGTGAAATGCCTCTAGAAAATCCAGTTCTCCAATGGAAGATGTTTTTTGAATAATTTTGGCAGCAGAAAAAATTGAAAGTGTGATTTTCGGACCAACAATGTTTGAGCAACAGAAGACTTCTGTGTTTCCTTTTTTCTAACATATGCCTCATGTTCTTTGATGCGAAATTTTAAGGCTCTCTTAGTTTGGCCAATGTAAATTAAACCGCACTGGCAAGGAATCCTATAAATACCCCAGGAATTCATATCCGGAATGGGGTCCTTGAGTATAGAAGTTGGAATTTTATTGATGGGAGAGTAAAAAACCGGAAAGTTAAATTTCTGCAAAATATGTGCAACTTTATAGCTAATTGATGGAAAGAAGGGAATGACAACAGAATTTTTAATTATTTATTAATCAAGCAGTTAAAAAATTCTCATCTCAACACACTAAAAGCCACACTCTTATTTTAGGAGATTATAAAAATTCTGTTGTCATTCCCTTCTTTGCATCAATTAGCTATAAAGTTGCACATATTTTGCAGAAATTTAAGTTTCGGGTTGTTTACTCTCCCATCAATAAAATTCCAACTTCTATACTCAAGGACCCCATTCCGGATATGAATTCCTGGGGTATTTATAGGATTCCTTGCCAGTGCGGTTTAATTTACATTGGCCAAACTAAGAGAGCCTTAAAATTTCGCATCAAAGAACATGAGGCATATGTTAGAAAAAAAGGAAACACAGAAGTCTTCTGTTGCTCAACATTGTTGGTCCGAAAATCACACTTTCAATTTTTCTGCTGCCAAAATTATTCAAAAAACATCTTCCATTGGAGAACTGGATTTTCTAGAGGCATTTCACATTCATAAAAATCTTTCTGTTCTAGTTAACGATCCTAATTCCAATCCAAATTTGCCTTCGGCTTTTAGAGAAATTATGTTTTAGTTCTGGTTTCGTCAACAGATGGCGCCACTTGCTTATTCTTGTCCAGGCTTTCTTATCTTATCTAAACATTATTTCCTATCTTGTTCATTTGCGGTTTTGCAGCTGAAGATGATGGTTCGGTAAAACCATCGAAACTAGTCCTGTGAAAATTTTTGTAAATTAACGCTGATTTTTGTTGTTTGACTTCTGAATTAGTATTTATTCGGCGTGTTATTGTGTCTTAATTACCTAAGATATTTTATACCAGCGGATGATTTTGTGTAGGGAATATTATGAAGATTATTTCTGTAAAAAAATATTTGCTTTTAACAATCATTTTGTTTATAATAATTAATCTCATACTTTAAACAAAATTTTCGACCGGGTATTTTTGCTGAAAATATTTAACGAAAGAATCGCTGTCTTTATGAGTGATCTATTTTTAGTCAAGGTCACCGTTATCAGAACATTACATCAGTCAGATGTTTATATTTTGGGAAGGAAGGGAAAACAGGTGTTGCGTTGATGCAACGTCAGCAAGAAACGGGTAGTCAATCTCCTTTTTCACTCATTCCTTTCGATGTTCTGGTTCATGTTCTGGTTGTTTAAAAATGCCTACAACGAGGTATCTTATATTAGAAGAAGCCCTTCAAAGATTTTTTGATGAAGAAACAGATGATGATAATGTTAATAATGACTAGAATGAAACTGATATTGTTTTTGTTCCCCCAGAAATTGCAGAGGCTAGTGACGAAGAAGAAAGGAATGGCAATGTTTTAAATAATGATATTTTACCAAATGATACTGCTGAGGAAGTTGAAATTCACGTAAGAAGTAAGTTTCAACCTTCTAAAAGCAGTTATAATCATACTAAAAAGTTCAAAAAGCAGAAGAATGAAATCTTGAAGTGGATAAAAAAGGAACTGTTAGTTATGTCTCAGGAAGAACATGACGAAAGAGATAGAAGAGAAATTATAAAAGACAAAACACAAGGTAAAACTAGTGCACAGGTTTTCGATTTTCTTTTTAGACATTAACTCTCTTCTCGTTGAACAGGCAAATATACAAATATATACACTCAGCAAAGGGGAAAAAAAAAAAAAAAAACAAACCAGAATTTATTGCATCTGAAGCCTATATGAGAAGATTTATTGGAATATTATTGCTTACAGGATATCATTCTTTACCTCAAAAAAAAAATGTATTGGTCTTTTGGTAAGGACATTTCTGTTCCTGTTGTACGAGAATTGATATCATGTTTGCAGTACAGGAATACGAAGCAGAATTTGCATTTGACAATACTGATAAATTATATGAGGTGAAACCGCATCTAAACTTACTAAATATCACCACTTTTTACTACTGGAAATATAAAGTCTCTTTTAGATTTCAGATGCGAGAATGCATTATTTCTTTTGCAAACTTCCATTGAGAGTGTAGAATTAGCCAGAAATAGATCAGCAACAGGAAAACCTAGTAAATTCAGCATTAAAAAACCATTGCATGGAGATGGTAGACATTTTATCGTAAAGTCCGTTGATAACAAAAGACTTTGTTGTAAAGAGTACCATAGCCAGACTGTTTATAGATGCAAAGTAGGTAATGTAGCTTTACATCATGATTGTAATCAAGCTTTTCATGATTGAATCTTTCAAATGAAATAATCTGTATTTGTAAAGAATATCAATGTATATTTTAATATTAATTAATTACAAGTAAGTGATTTGTAGATTTATAAAACGTTATATAGCTAAAAAGTAATCCTGCACTCCACTCAAAAGAAACATCACAGGAGTACAATCCTACTCACTAAACATCCATAGTCTTATTCCGCTGACGTTGCGCGAACGCAACACTCGCTTTTGGTAAGAGAATTTTTTTATTTTTTTATTTTCAATGTAAATTTAGGTTATAAATGCTTAATTTAATATTTGTTATTATTTTCATGAGAAAAGAAACATTCCTTGTAGTTTTAGCAGTTGATGGGTTAAGATGAATACAATGTAGCACAGACAAATGGACAGTTTCATAACCTGCTTATTTTGAAGGATCTACCACAAAACAGAAGCTATTGCATTAAAATTATTCAGAAAAAATTAGTGTATTTAGATATTAAACTCTGGACTCTTCTAAAGAGATGCAAATTTTTATTTCTACTTGTCTTTCCTTTGGTTAACTTTTCTTTTTTTGCGGAAGGGGATGGCTTCCTATTTCAATGCTAGCCTCAGATCAATTAAACATATACTTACCATTATGTCAATCTCATGTTAATTTTTACTTCATTTGCATCACACATTTACTAGATTTAACACAAAGCACATGCAATCCATTATTTTTAAGCATATGGTATTTTGACAAAAAGTTACAAATGTTCCTATTTTCATGAAATGAAACTATACATGATGGAAGGAGTACAATGAAAACCATGAATAATTGTCAACAAAGAAATAGAATAAGAACTGGATGCTGGTTTAACCCGTTCGGGATGGCAGCCCGTGGAAGATAGTGCTTCCTTAGGATGGGAGCTGTTACATGCAAACTGTGCTTACAGGCCAGGGAATTTTTTTTCCCGATAAGCCTAATACACAATTTCGGAAAGTACACATTACATAATAATGGATAAAAGGCACACTTTACGTAGAAATAAAACCATTTTTAAATATGTGATTAAAGACATAATTTAAATCATAACAAAAAAATTTAATTAAGATAATTTATATTTAACAACAAAAATATAAATATATTGTATTTTACTGTAACTAAAAGTACCTAAATTAAACACTAAATGTTGATACAAAATATAAGAAAACACTAAAAATATTTACAGTTAACATTATGAAATACTTGAAGAATATTGTAATAATTAATATTTCAAAGCCGTATGAAAAATCTCAAAGCATGGATCAATGCAGAGACCTGCATTATTATCATGCATAATTTCAATCATGCATGTTTATTATTATCATCTTCTAATTCAGAATCTGGAGATTCAGAACTACTATATGAGGGCAATTTTTTGAATGGAACATGGATTAGTAACACCATCTGCAAGTAAACATTTCGTTCCAAAAGCACGGCACAACTGTGCCGCGATTGTCCCGCTGTGCAGGATTCGCCGTAACGCAAGGATGCAGCGTTCGTTCCGAACGAATTAAGGGAAGTTACCTGCTTTCTTAGAGTTCATATAAAGGCAGAGATAAAGTGCAAAGACTAATAATCCATTTGATCTGGTTGGGGAGGGGAAACACATTTGAAATGAAAAACCCTATTTAAACATATCTTGTTGCTGAAAAGCACCGACAGATTCTTTTGATACATCAGTAGGTACTAGATAATTAACGACAACTGGTTAAAGACCAAATCTTGAGGCAGCAGTTAATCAAGTTTTATAACTTCAAAGTAATTCTTTAATACAATTCTATAGTTTAGCATCCTAATAATGAGCACTATCAAATGAACTACCACTCAAGGAAAGTTTTAAGAATGCCACTTTTCTGAAGAATATAAAAAACTGGACTTACCTAAATGTTGCTGATGTGGATTGATAACATAAGCTTGAAGTGCCATAGCCAGTTTAGGCACAATATTATTTATGACAAATGCATCCATAACACCTTGGGAAAATACTGTCTTCCATGGTTCCAATATTAATTTAGCAGAACAATCACTTGGATGCCAGTTGACTAATGCAGAAGCCAATTTATGTCGTATTGGAGCATATAAAGGTTCCAAACGTGAAGCTACATAAAATATAGTACTGGATGCTAAAAAATCTCCAAAGAGATACAAAACATAGAATGGACAGTGAAACTTTACCTCGCATTACATAATTTTCCACAATAAAAATAAAAGTTAGTCATACAGTTTATTTCAATACTTAAAGAATAATGCATCAAAGTTTAAATTACAGAGTTAATTCTCTTATTCTGATGTATGTCAAAAAAAAGTATTATCTAAGCCTCTGACTGAATCAGAAATTTTTCAATTAAAATCAAACAACAGAATATTAAGAGTTATTTAGTCTTTTAGAAAAATGTTAGTGAATTAAATGTATTCCCTCTCATAGCAACAACAATAGTAAAAATTTAAAAAAAAAAAAATGTCAGGTCATAAGGCATACCACAAAACTCAGAAAGAGAGAGAGAGACAGAGAAAACTTTAGATGGACCTCAAATAATACTTTTATTTCAAAAAATAATAATCCTGCAAATTGCTTAAAAACATGAAAAATTAAATGAGTTATATATACAAATGCAGAACTCAAAATGTGACATATACTATTATTCCCTTCTCCATGCCAAATTACTGATTTGCCATCAACATTTTACAGAAATTCGAAGACTGAAAGATATTGATTACAATCACAGCAAGTAAGGCATTATTAAGTTTTTTAAAATTTTTCAGCAGATAAAACTGGTTATTAACAAAATATTATTAAAAAAATAAAAGAAAGAACTGATATTTTTATAAACTTTTCTGTAACTCCACGTCTATCAAGAGTTTACTTTACAACATATTTTTTGGGGTTAAAATAAAAGTTTGCATATTTTTGGACATACATGTACAGGCTGGTGCTAATTTCTCACTAACAGCTACATTTTTAGAATTATGGCAAAGTTGCCGTATCTATCAACTGATATGAATGCATATATAAAAAATAAGAATATTTATGTTATTCATATGCATTAATCTTAAAACAACTGCCTATTAGTATTTATTAAAGTTTAATATAATATCAGGATTCACGAAACAAATAAAATTTACATATCCTTACATTTAATTTAACCCAAAAGCACTTAAAATTCTTAATTAAACTATATAACACTATTGTATCTTAAATAATCACATACTGGTGAAATTAAATATTTAGCACACAAAGCTTTAAGATTGAATCCATAAAAAGTTGAAGTTTGAAACACCTTTATCACTCTTTAACTATCTATACAAATTCCTTTTGAGGAATGTTCACTGAGCTTTTGGACTTCTTTTACAAACACCAAACTTTCATACCCTTATTAAAAAAAAAAAAAAAAAAAAAGTTTTACACTTGGATTTGTTCTTCTGAATTTCTGATACAAATTGATACCCTTTAAGATAAGATTTCATTTTAGGGGGCAGAAAGTAACTCAACAGCCACCAAATCTGGAAGTTAGAGTAGCTATATGTTTATTTATAGCAATTTGTTTGATGACAGTAACATTGTTTGAAGAAAATTTTCTTGCTTCTTGTTGTTTAATCATTGAAGACACAATAGCAAGTGCGAGGTGCATAAAATTGAACAAAAATTTCCATTGAAGCTTTTCCAAGCTATCCATAAGCTATGTATGCTTAAACGTCTTGAATATTTCATGATGTTTTCTTCGAGAAATAAAAATTTTTATGAGATTGTCATAAAAGTTCATATGTAGTAAATCAATCAGTTTTACTAGGATTACTCACTGTAGATTCCAGCAGCAATCTGCCATCATGCACGTATCACAACTTTCTCGCTATCTAAAACAAATTGTTTTGCTTTTCATTTAAATCTCTTAAGATTTTTTGGAAAGTGATTTAAGAGACTGCATAGGTAGCTTTGACATTCACATTACAGCCCTGCTTGCTGAAACTGAAAAGCACACTTTTCGTTAATTATATGTATTTCTCTAAATGAAATTTCTCAAGAAGATTTTGCTGACAAACTAAATGAAATTTTAATTGTTTGTTCTCAATTTATGAAAATGGACTTCCTTCAAACTGACTTAATCTGATAACTGTTGAAAATGCCAGCTGACAGCTTTCTGCGTTCAATTTAGGAAATTTACTTGATATATAAATAAAGATATTCTTTATTCAAGACACTCACAAACTGTTTCAAGCCTTATTTACAAATGTTATCATCTAAGATGTTTTAGGAAGTTGATAGATACACCAACCAATGTCATTTTTCAAATCAGTCTCCAGAATATATTAAAGTACAGAACATATTAAGCACATGTAATAAGTTTAGAAATATTAATTTCAAATTTAAAACTACAGATTATATATGTGCTAAAATAGCAAGTCAATTTACATGTAGTGCATATTCATCTGTACTCTGTTACCTTTTTTATATGATTTAAATCAATCAAATAACTAAAAATTCATAAATAATTTTAACACCACACTTAAGTTTACTGGATCTAGAATGAAGAAAAATTTGATGTGTACACCACATGACTTCCTTGCACGGAATATTAAATTATACGCATTTTTCCTTGCATTTCATTTAAACGTATTGGATTGAATAAATTACTTCGCCGACAGCGCATAAACCACAATAGAATAAATGCATTCTTGAATTCTGTATTTGTTTACCATAGCGACACTCTGGCGCTAGATTCATTTAACGTATTAATACTTATATAACAGTTAACTTATATAATAATTATATAACAGTTAACTCTATATTTCGTCATATTAACTCATAATGCACAAATTTTATCATTTAAAGATATCAATAATGATCTAATCGTTGCCACATGTTCTATTCAAATACTATAATAAGCTAGAATGATGTATAAAAAAATTAAGCAAACAAACACAAAAAAGAAACATTTTTCACAGACGATTGAGTATTTCTCATTTAATTAATTCATTCTCACTTCGCAAAATATATAAGAATCAAAATTCTATATTAAAAATTAGAAGTAAATCTTAAACAGCTTATTCCTCGAAAAATTTCAGAACGGATTAAGCATGATTAAAATAAAAATGAAGGGCTTATCTTTGTTGTTGCGAAGCTTCTCTAGATTGGCAACAAATCACTAGTCTCCTGTTTAAATGTAACAATCATAAAAAAAAAAGGCGTAGCGCACTTGGACAACTTTAAAAGTGTTGATAATTCTAAAAATATTGCATACAGATTTAGTAAAGGCATAAAAACCTTAACCGGAAAGAAAAACAACATAATACAATCATTTTTAAAGCAAAAAATGTACAATTTACAAACATATAAGAGTAAAGAAACTCAGGTCACTTAGCTGAGTGGATATATATATAAATATATTTATATACGTTTGGTGCGGCCGATTGCAACCAAAATACGAGGTGCACATCTACATGTTATAGCAGTCCCATATACAAAATTTCAACGTTCTGAGGCTACTTGTTTTTGAGTTATGTGAGATACGTATGTAGGTACGTACGTACACATGTACGTTCATACAGATGCCACAAAAAATTCTCTTCAGAATTAATTTTAAAGCAGTTTTATAATTTTTTGAAGGAAAAGAGTATTTTATTCTGTCCTTACATACAGATATCACACAAAAACATCTTTAAATTGCATTCGATAGCGGTCAAAATGATATTTTCGTTGAAATATGCTGCCTGAAACTTTTCGCGATTACAATACTTCCTTTTTACATCGTACAAGGAAGTAATAAGTGAATTAGCCTCCCACATAACTAGAATTCTATTGTAATTTATATAAAGTAAATATATATTAATTTATTCATTAAGATTATGAAAGAATGGAAATAACTCAGACAGATGCATTTCAAAAGGCAGCAAAGAGGTAAAGGAGTGCAAGCTCTTACAGAAATAATTTTGTTGATCTACAGTTGTGCTCTTCATACCTGTAATTTACACTATCCCTTCTTCAATTCAGAAAATATATATATATATATATATATATATAAAATAAGAAGAATTCATAATTACTAAACATATAAACATATGCCAAGCAAGAATGGGTCATTTCATAACACAAAAAGAATGGTGCAGACATTATCAGCACCATCTTTCTTAGCATAAGCACATAAGCATGCATGATTTAGATCAATTTTTCATCACTCCTAAGTCTACTGATGATTTTTGCTATTCTGTCATATCTAAAGAGTATTTTAATATACAGCACAGAAATTGTATGCTATCACAGCTGTATTAATCTCTTAAAGGAAAGACTAAAATGTCAGTAGCAGATACTTTGATATGTGCAAGTAATAGAAAACACATTGTAAACTTAAAATGCAGCAAGCATACTTTATTATTATTTTAAATAATGTTAGCAACAATATCTTATGAACGGAAATTTATCCCAGCATTCATGCTATATTAGAGGCATATAACATTTATGCTATTCATAGAAGCATGATATTATTTTATTGATATTATTAACAGCATCATTTCCCATAGTTTTAATTTTTTTTGTTAACAGCCCAACAATTGATAGTTAAGAATTCATCAGGAATGGCTAAACTCATTGGTCATTTATACATTTCATCACCAAAAATGTTACTCCTGATGCAAACAATTTTTCATACACAAGAACAGATTAGCACCAACAAATATCCATGATGCTTTCTACAGGATGCCAATCTGGATCAAATGATATGGCCCACTAAGCACCATACGTACATATTAACTATCTGACATCCTATCTACGGCTGTTTTTGGAATGAACTACCACAGTCACAGAGACACTACTGTACTTACAGCTGAGCAAGAGTTTAGATACAGTGGCTCCCAAAAGTGTTCGTACACTTATGATTTTCATTGAAATAGGGCTCTATCCATTAATTAAAAGTAAACTTTCTGAATGAGATTTTAATAATAACAGCTATAATCTATTTGTAACAAAATTACATGAAATATGTTTAAAATATAGCAAAACTTTATTTTTAAGAAATTAATAATCAGAAAATGACAAACATTTTATCTCACAAAGGTCTTCGTACACTTCAAAAAAATCTTGACATATTAGTAAATATTTTCATTTTTCGTTAAATTAATATTTAGTAGGATATCCTTTAGCATCCACAACAGTTTAAACATCTGGGATTAGATTTTACTAGTTTTTATTGTAATTTCTGTATCAATGTTCATCCATTCTTTCATCATGACTGCTTTGACTTTGCTTTTTGTTTTGATGTCATGTTTTCGTACTCTAACTTCCAGTTCTTTCCAAATGTGTTCTATGGGGTTTAAATCTGGCGACTGAGATTGTGTTTCCAAAACCTGTGGACACACAGGCGAACGCAGACACAGAGGCGAACGTTGGGAGCCATATGCTTAGGATCGTTATCATGATTAAAAATAAAGTTGTTTTTAATATCCAAATTTTGGGCTGATAATTTTAAATCGTCTCTTAAAATATTTAAATAAAGAGAATGATTCATTATGCCAGCAATAAATACCAAATTACCTAGTCCTGATGCTGCCATGCACCCCCACACAAGAACACCTCCACTGCTATGCTTAACTGTTCCAACTAAGTTCTTAAAATGAAGTTCCTCATTTTTTCTTTTCCTAACAGTTATTCGACCATAGGAACCAAAAATGTTAAATTTGCTTTCGTCAGCAAATAAGACATTATTCCAGTACGTTTCAGGTGTATTTAGCATTGATTTTGCGAAAGGAAGCCTAAGCTTTCTGTTTTTCTCATTTACAAAAAAAATTTTATGGGCAGAATGCCAATGTAATCCAGCTTCTTCTCTGAGAACTTGTCAAACAGTTTAAGGTGAAATTGAAGTAGAAAAATTTGAATTAAATTCTGCATAAACTTTTACAGCACTCAAACGTAGGTTTTCCCAAGTTTTCTAACAATAAATCTCTCATTACGTTTAGTTAACTTTCTTGGTCGACCTTTTCTTACCTTGTTTTCAATCCGATTTTCTTCTTTAAAGCGTTTTATCACATATGGCACTGAAGAATGGGATAAATTAATTAATTTAGCGATATTTTGAATTGATTTACCACTACTATCGCGAAAAATTATCCATTTTCGAATGCTATTTGTAATTTCTTTATGATTGCTACCCATTTTTCAATAATAAATAGAATATTATGAAGTAAACAATAAAAAATTAAAGCAAATGATTTTTTAAATGCCACCCCAATGCAAAAATAAAAAAAAGCGGCAAACAAAAATTCTAATTTTGATTTTATCCAAAAATATTTCAGTGTACGAAGACTTTTATGAGATAAAATGTTTGTCATTTTTTTATTATTATTTTTTTTAAATAACGTTTCGCTATATTATAAAAATATTTCATGTAATTTTGTTACGAATAGATTATAGATCTTACTATTAAAATCTCATTCAGAAAGTTTACTTTTAATTAATGGATAGAGCCCTATTTTAATGAAAATCATAAGTGTACGAACACTTTTAGGAGCCACTGTATTTTTGGTCAAAGCTGTGCATACAGTTGTTAAGAAACTCACTCAGTTTGATTTTACTTTTGAGATTAAAAGAATTTATACATTTGAAGAGTAACTTAGCATGTGCTTCAGAAGCAAGTTAAGCTTGATTACAGACAGAAAGATGAATTAATATATTTTGGAAATTAAAAAAAATAAAAATATTATTTTACCCATAAGTGGTAACCAAGGATGCAGCCACGAATGTACAGGTAAAGTATCTGTCAGAGGGTTCCATGCTTCTACTTCTTTTTGCAAGCGAGGAAGAACCAACTGTTCTAAAATATTACCCATCACCCATGGAGGTAATAGTGGTGTCCATGTGTCTAGAAGTTCTACTAATGGAGACCAGTTACGAGCATTCCAGCCCCTTGAAAACAATTCATATAACTATAAGCTAAAACTAAAATCAAATATGCACTCATATTAAAATAAAAAAAAAATCTAATTAATGCAAGTTAAATTACTTATTTCATACAGCAGGTTTCATAAACCAAAAGTGGCTCATGAAACATTCTATATACAGATATTTCAGTTGACATAAAATAGACTTTTGGATAGAAAATTTTAAAAAAGTTGTTACAGTAATGAAGAAAAGGTTTTAAAAAATTCTTTTAAACCCTTTAGAAGAGTTTTACAGAAAGTCTTTACACAATTTTTGAATGATTTTGATAAAGAACTAAAAAAAGTTTTGAAATAAAAATTTCTGGCGATAGCTTATTATTTGAAATGCGAAATATTATATTATTAAATTTTTCTTTCCAAATGTTGCACATAAAGAAGCTGTGAATTGAAGGATATGTTTTTGCACTTTCAAAGAGAAATATTTTTACTACATAATTAAAAAACATTGTATAATGCATGATGTTACAAATTCTAACTGCAAAAAAGACAATACTGTTAATTAGAAACATCAAATGAAGATGATGAATGTAGAAGTGATAACTGGAAAAAATGTCAGTCATCACTACTAAAAGAACACTCCAAATGAATACCTGAAAAAGTTACAATGTTTCTAAAGCTAAATCTTTGGTAAGAAGAGAAAATCTGCTGATGCAAAGATCATATGAAAAGTTTTCAAACACACCTATAGCACCAAAAAATAATTAACAAAGATTTACAATCAATGCTGAACAATTTGCAGAACTCAGTAAGAAAACTATTTAGTAACCTAAATGACTGCCATTACAAAAAAAAAAAAAAAAAAAAAAAAAAAAAAAAATTATTGAAAATAAAGAGAAAAAATGTACAAACCTATGTCTGTCAATGCACAGAAAGTTTGAGTAAGGGGTTTATATTTGCCACAGGATTCTCTTACAATGGGAAATTAAAAATACGAAGAATGGAAAAAAAAAAAGGGTTAAAACCAAGCCAAAGTACTATTAAGAGAGAGATTTTGGTCTGATATTTACATAAGAAATTCCAGTTCTCTGTCCCAATGTCTTTCAAAGAGTTAAACTCCATGAAAACAAAGCAACAAGTTATACTTCAAAAAGAATAACTGCATTTCTTGAAAAAATGAAGACTGATATAGGTATTGCATATATACCTTCTCAACATATTCCTGTGAAGTTCCACCTATGGACTATTGATAACTAATGGACTCTGGAAAGCAATAGAATAGAAATCAACTCCCGCCAGAAATTTTACAAAAAGCCCTTCTATCATGGAAATCATGATGCAGGCTTATAATCCAAAATGAAGGCAAACAGATCTTCAGAAAAAAGAGCAATGCAACTTCAATGAAATATAAGTTTATAATCTTTTCTGTCTGTGGTTCAAATTAATCAATATATAAGATTTGATTATATTTTCATTTATTTGGAAAGTATTTAATATATTCTGATGAGTTTTTTTTAAAGAGTTTTTGTACCTGTACATTATTTCAGCATTATACTATCTTGAACTACAAACGAAGTAGCTGTTTTGCTGGAAGTTAATAAGCAATGTATTTTAAAAATATTTCGATCATAAAATAAGTACGGGGGGGGGGAGAAAAACTTTAAATATATCCTTTTCCAAGTCTGAAAATTTGAAAGGAAAGTATGGGAAGGAAACATTCCTGCATACTTTTCTGCCAAAAAATTTAATTACATACAAAATCGCTTTACGAACAGGGGGCATCCAAACATCCCAGACTAGTCGATGATAGGGTTCCAGTTCTTGTTCTGTTCCTTTGTTCCAAGAAACCACTGAGCTATTGGATTCTAACAGTGCTTTCCAGTCTTGAAAAATATCTATGCAATGATGCTTTTGTTCCAAGGGATTCCAATCAGCTAACAGTTTTTTAACCTAAACAACATGATATAAAATTCATACAATGAAAATCAGATAAAAGAAGCATGATTAACACATTTTATCTAATTCAGCTAGGGTATTCTGGAAAATAATCCACACATGTTGCAGCTTTGCCCCTTTTTTAACTAGCTTATCTAAATACAGCCAAAATATTCTACATACATTTTGTCTAAAATTTATTAGTTAAACATTTCTTCAAGTTATCATTTTGGTAATATTTACTCCTATTCAAATGAAACATTTTATCTACTATAGCACATTAAAACTTCATTTTTATTCTTAGCCTAATTTTCTTTTTTGTTAAAAGTAATTGATGAAGATTGAAAATGTACTGTTTTTGCCCTCAATACTGTTAATTATATTTACAAATGTTTCAAAAGCAAGCAGATGCCATAAGAGGAAAAAAAAATCGAAAATAAATGAAACAATTTGAAGATGATTATGATGCACTTCTTATATTTTTATATCAGGAGGAAATTTATAAGAATTTAAATATAAAATATAGCAACTGTAGTTTTAAAATTTAAAAAAAAAAAAATTATTTGGAAAAGAAAAATATAGCGAAAAAGAAAGCAAATTTCACTGAAAACAAAAATTAAGGAGATAAAAAAACCTTAGGATATATACAGATGTAGATTAAATTATATTTCACATGATAAAAGAGGAGAATTATGATGATATATACAAACCTAGAAGAGAAAAGGATTTCGAATTTTATATGCAATGTTCTTTTTACTTAAATATAAATTTTAGTTCAAATTTTATTATTTACTACTTCTACTGACTTCATATCATACTTTGCTTTAAAACATAATAAAGTGGCATGCAAGTAAATAAAATTTTTCTTTCTGTATCTAAATTAGTTTCTGAATTTAATACATAAATCTTAAAAAGATAAATTAAAATTCACTTCAGAAATAGCATTTTATTGCATGACTTTTTAATTAAGCTTGAAAGTAATCAATGTAACACTTATTTAAAAAGCAGTTAATAGATATGGGGCAAACACACGGCAAAACATATTTAATTTTTACAACTATTTAAAAAAAAGGAGGGCAAGGGACTGTAACTTACCAAAGGAACAACTATAGTAATAGCTAAATCACTCAAATTATACAATTTGTATTCTTCATAATACTCATCTTGCAGATCTTTGAAAGTTCTGGCTGCAATTTCAAGAGTTGTGTTGCTATCATCATCATCACTTTTATTATCCAAACTAAAATAAAAAACAAACGCATAGAAGATTTAACATTATTAAATTAAGTCCTTCTATACTAGTGAAGAAATTCAATGTTTTAAGAAAGAATAGAGCATTTTTTTTAACCTTAAACACTCTACAAAAATATTGATGTAGCAGAGATAACTTAAGTGCATAAACTAATAAATTAAGAGTTCAAATTCAACTTCTGTTGTGTTACCTATGAACTGATGAGAAATAACACATATGGGAAGAGAGATTACAGCTTAGACATGAATTTTGTTAAGAATTAAACTTAACTGATAAAGACCTTATCATTGTACAGATATTTTCTTATTTTATATATATTTTGTATTACCTATTGTTTTATGCATATTACTTACGAAATCTTGAAGTCATTAATTATGACTTATTATTGTAATGATGCTTTAATTTTTAATCTAACAAAGGCACAAAATACCTTGAAAAAATATTAAAAAGACTGTTTTCTTCAACAAAGTAGCATTAAAGCAAAAATGTCCTTATACTCCCTAGGAATGGATCATAATACATGTGAGTATTTTAATTTTTTTAACATATAGTTGTAAAATACATGCATTATTAATGTATGTATTGTAAATATATCCCAGAAAGATAAAACGAGAAAGACGAGAAAAATAAAAATTAAATTAATTAATATCAGATAGAAGAAAGATTGAAGGGGGAAAAAGGAAACAGTCTATAAATTTAAAAGCACTATTAAGCTGTTATATAAAACATAAAAATAATTAATGTCCAGATTACATATTTATGCTCTAAATTAATCAATCTCTCAATAACATTTTTAATATCTAAAACAATTACCAGAACGTTTTAGAGACAAAATAAAAATATAAATAAAAATATAACTACAAAATTCAATAAATTAAATAATATATAAACACTGAGGTATATCAGAAAAGAGTTTCAACGATTTGACTAAAAAGAAGTAATAATATCATGCACCAAATTAGATGTTCAAAAATAAAAATGGTACAAAAGAAACACTACTGTTAGAAAACTAACTACACCTACTAAAACACAATGGAAAAATTACCAACATCACATTAAGGTTTCATAATGTTTTAATAATTCTACAACATATATTTTCCAACTTTCAAGATTCGAATTTTAGCCTAAAATCAATTTTACAATATTTATCAAAGAGGGAAAAATAATCAAAATCAATCTTTTCAAAGTAATTAAAACGCCTCGTAATGCCAACAGATGTACATAATATGACAAATAATAATCTGATAATTTTAAGCACTTTCTGATCAACAAATTGCATTTATTTTGCAGCTATTTCTTTTTTATTCTAAAAAATAATTCTTCATTATTAACTAAAATTTCCTAAAAGGTCCAGAAACAAAATTTTGGTCTCATATCAGGTTTAAGAAGCCTATACCCTTCACAAAACAATCAAACACAAAATTATTAATGTAAAGTAAAATGCTTAAATTTTTAAGCTTCAGAAAAACTAACAATTTAATATTTCAGAAATTGCTTTCTTTAGTAATTTTCATAAATCTTTTTTTGGTTGTTTTTAGTTAATTTTATCAAACAATTTCATTCATGGCTTGTAAGATACTTTTATAATACTAACAATACCAAAAAATTTCTTATTTTCACTAATTGGCACTTGAGATACCATTTTGACAAATGTTAAAATTTGGTTTCACAATTATGTGCTGATAACTGCATGTTCATAAAATGAAACAACAAAATTCCATATCAATATACAACTCTTTACCTTTCTACAATTTTAAGTACTTTTTCCAAAGTTTTAATTTGTTTTTCTTCTTGAGTTATCACTTCTTCAAGCCGGTTTTGTTCATGCTCTAAGTTTATTAACTTATCTTGAGCAAACTGTTTCTGACGATCACATCTAATTATCTTCTGTTTTTCATCCTCTTCGAGAAGTTTCAAATTGTGCTCCAACTCAGGTAAAGAAAAGTGATACCCTCTGCTACTGGTTTTAACTTGAGAATCTTCTTCCTGATCGGGGGGCTTGCTGTGCTGTTGATGAATCTGATGATAACCTATAAAGATGAACATTATATAAGACAATCATAATGCACTATAAATATCAGAAGAGTATTAGTCTAAACCAGTGGTTTTTAACAGCAATCAATAATATCAAATATCATTCTTGGCTTTAAATATTTAAATAATAAATTTATTTAAAATATTTAAATAATAATAAATTAATTATATAATATAATTATAATTATTAAATAAATAAAATTTGATTAAATACATCATGTTTAAAGATTTCATATCTTAAAGTCACTGTATTAACAGAAACAGAAATAGCTTTCGTTGATATATTCTTATCACTTATACTCTCTGATATAATCTTATAGATTATTTATACTTGAATAATGAAAACCATAATTTTTTTTAACTATATATAAAGAGCTAACAATTACATTCACTAATTTATATGACCTAAATTAACATTTACTTGTAAATAAATTAATTTTAACATCACATTACTTAACTATGTAAAGTTTGAAATGAGTATATTTATTTAATTTTGAATTTTATTATATTAACTACTTAAATCTGGATTATTTCTATGATGATTACATTTTTCAAAACCTTGTCATTTTGATTTGATTATTACTGAATTTTTAATTACCTTACCGATTGGTTGCTGTTTTTAATGGATTTATTTAAACGTTTTGTAAACTTTTTATTATTAATTTCTAAAGTTAATTGTTTAAACTGATTTATTATGCAATTTTGGATAGATTTATATCATGTGCTTGTTTTCCAGCCATACAGAAGTTGGAATACATTAAAAAATAATTAGCTAATTTATACTCAAAATCATACTTTTAGCAATAAAAAATTGTTTATTCTGTTGTTAGAAAAGATGACTATTGTATTAACTCGTAGCATTAAAAGATACGTAATATGCTGCTTAATTTTTCAAATTCTTTTGATTATGCAGACTTCTATGTGTCAAATTCTTAGATTTTGAAATACTAAGATTTCTTTTCTCCATTATATTTTTATATATCAAGTTCTGGATCATCTTGAAAGAACATAAAAATTTGTTTGCTATTTTGTGTTACTCCTAACTAAATTTACAACTACTTTTAGCATGTTGTTAGTTTATGAATTTACTCAATTTTTTTTTATTTGCTAATCCTTTTGCATTTTATTTTTAGATACATACAGAAATTATCATCATTTCTATAGTCCTTTCCTGCTTTTAAAAGATATTTGAAAAGTATATTGTTTAGCTTAAAAACTCTCAGAATTTTTATAACATACAAGAATATTTCAGTCAGAGCAATGGCACACAGATCTCACAGATTCAACCACTGGTTTAAACAAATGCTAAGATTCTCTAGGAATATATTAAATATAATATTTCTAGTACTACAATAAGACAGGAATAAGAGCAACAAAGAAAAAAAATTCTTTACAAGTAAACCTTGGGCCAACTACTATCAAGTATGTATAATTCTTTAACACAGAGAAGTACTTTCTTAAATCAGTTATAATAAAAGGAAACTTACTCAAGAACTGTTCCTCATTATATGGTAATTAACACATATTATCAAGCAATACCAAATATATGTTTTTGTTTATAAGCATTTACAAGATTATAGATTTATATGCCTTTACTCATAATTGAGAATCTGCCAAACCAAGTTTCATAATTTTGAAAACTTTTCCCAACATTCAGGTAGATTAGAAACAGTGAAAATCATCACTGTCCAGCATTGTTGAATTAGCAATCTCACCTGACAATATTCGCTGTTCAGGACCAGTCATGTCAATTACCTTCACACTGCTAATTGAACTTGAATCCCCTCGGAATCTTTTATTTGCTCCTTCCTGGACAACTTCATCTGCAGTTTTGTATATGTATTTTACCTTCAGTTGAGAATCCTGAAATAGCATCAGTATATTATATTAAAAATTAACTTTGGCATACAAGAAAATTATGAATACCTTATTATTATTCATATACACCGAAATGCTCCCGAAAAACCAAAAACATTAATGTAACACTTTATTAAGGTTACACACAAAAATATTGAGGTACAACTTTTCATTATCATACGTATACACACCATGAGACTGATACAAAATGTATATACATTTTCAGAAAAGAAAATTATGCTATTTAGTGTTATTATAACAATGATGTATAATAATACAAATTTATTCACACATTACAAGATGAATACAAATTACCCATAATTTTTACAACTATAACAGATGCTCAATGTAGTAGCCATTAGAAGACAGACACTTATCACAATAATGAACTGTTGCTTTAGAAATGTGGATTAAAGTGTTTATGGAGATTGCTCTAAGTTCCATTTTAATTTCTTGATTAATAAACACTGGCATTGCTGAAGACACACATAACTAACTCTTATGTGGGATTCAAATGCATAGCTTGGATTCTGGAATAGCAGTCATCCTCCACTAACTACTAAACCATCCAGAGGAACACCTGAACAGCACATTGTATGGTAGATTTCAGTGGCAAGCACTTAAACTTTTCCAACACCACAGCTGATGAAGTGCTTCATTACACAGTGAGATCTACCTGATCTTCGCATGTACACTGCACAAGAAAAAAGGAACAGTTCTATATCTCCCGTTCTACTGAGCAGATTGATGAAATTTAACTTGCATTTATATACCTTGAAAGCACGACTTGGGATATGTATCAGATTTATATTTAGCAATGTTCTACTATAGGTATTTTGACAAAAAATTGGACTTTTCGATTTTACGACTCAAATTATGTAATATAATGTGTAATTATATTATTATGTAATATACTAATATAATTTCTTTAAAAATTAGCTCTCAAAATTTTAGCTCCTCAATGTTAATTGAATTTGATATATATTTATTAATCTCTCTTTTTTTATTAAGCTTATTTATTTCTTCCTTTCACATTTCGAAATTTAAATTCATTCCAAACAACATTCGCCCATTTTTTATTGTTTATTTTCAAAATTTGTATTTTTAAATGATTTTTATAAATAATTTTGAATTTTAATCTACAAAATTTTTACTATCATCTTAAAGTAGATGTATTTCCAACAATACCTGTAAAAAAATATTCAAAATTTCCAAATATATATGTGAATTTATATATTGGCACATTTTGAAATTCAGCATATTTGTTGAAAGCAATAGTGATTTGGGCACTGAAATCAAATGTGGTTTAGGCACTTTGTTAAAATTATTTGAAGTAGGAATGAATGACTCTTTTTCCGCTCATGCACAATGTAAAAAAGGGAAAAGGAAAATAGGTTGCCATATATTAAGAAGTTCGCCAAGTGAATGATTCTTGGTGCAAACTGAAAACCTGTGGCAAAATATATCTTTGAATTTCTCTGTAAATTTTGCACCAAATTTTACAAAATTTAATATTCAGGCATAATTTGAGTCATAGAATTGAAATACGGAAAAAAAAATGGCCCGTTATTTCTAAAAAAGTCCGATTTTGTGTCAAAATACTTATATCAGAACAACGCTATATATAAATACAGTACCAAGTCTGTAATCCAGACTCGTCGAGACTTCCGCGATTCCGGGTTAGGGGTTTTTCCGAATTATAGATCAATTTAAATCTAGTCAGATGGCATGCATTTCAATTATACAATTAAAAATATGAAACCGTAATTTATGAAATAAAGAGCAATTATGATCTAAAGGGTATCAAATTTTACAAAAAAAAGTTAATATATATTAGTTTACTTTATTAAACATTTCTTTCAACGCGCGCATGTGTAAATCATAGATTACGCATAGTTGAAACTAGAAAACTGCCACCAGAAAACTATTTGATGTGTATTCGTGATATTTATAATGACGAGGAAATTGATTTAAATCTTATCAAAGACGGAGTACATCGAGATGAAATACTACGTTTAGTATGGAATTATAAGCCAAATAAAATAAAAGCATCTGCCCTGAAGATGAGGATAGTGCTGACAGATCAACTTCCAGTTCACTACGTGCCACGATGTCCCCCCCCACAAAGCAGCATTAAATTGATAAACAGATTTCGGAATGGTTAGAGAAGTAAATCATTAAGCCAAGCTGTTCTGATTATGCAAGTAATTGTGCTAAGTAGGAAAAAATGCGGTTCATTTAGACTATGTCTGGACTTAAACAGCATTTAAAACCTGGTGAATCCCTTTCCGAATATTTAATTGCCATGCAACATGAAATAGCCAGTCGTGGTTCTGTTGATGATTCATCAATTCTTGATTATGTAATCAATGGGATACCGGATCAGAGTAGTAACAAAATTATTTTGTATGGGTGTAACACTATTTCTGAATTCAAAGAGAAATTAAAAATTTATGAGAAAATCCGCGTTCCAGATATGAAGAATAAAGGTTATTCAAGTACTAACACACAAAATAAAGCATGCGCTTTATTTCGTGTAAATAATAAGGCAAAGAACCAACGTGTTATGACTGTGGAAGTATAGGGCGCGTAATGTATGCACGTTCTTTACGTGCACGCATAAAGCATACAAAAAAAAAGTTTGTGGCTTTGAGTTCCGGATTATAGATCATTCCGGATAATGGACATCTGGATTACGGACTTTGTACTGTATAATAAATACTCTAAGTCGCGCTTTCGACACATGAAAGATGCAATTTTAATTTCGTCAATCAGTCCAGTACGATGGAAGATATAGAACTGTCCTCCCCCCCTGCAATGTACATGCCACAAATATTATTATTAAATTTAACTTATCACAAAGATGTATAAATGTCAAAACTTGATTTTCACTCAAAATTTGTATTAGCGAAAATGCTTAATTCAGAATGAGTTCTTTGGTACTCTACTTTGGCTCTAAATCCCATCACTTCACGAAACTATTTGGCCTAACTTAATTTGCCAGTTTGGCATAACAATTATTACTTGAGTAAAAGACGAAACACCTTCGTATTTATTAATTATCGTTCACTGCACGGAAGTTGGTTTGTTCCCCTTGAAAAGTCAACTAATTTCCGATCAATAGCGATAATTACTTGCTTTTAAATTTAATTTCTTTTTCAAAGTTTGAAATTTTGTTATTCATGATTTAATTCAAGTCCCCGTAAAATATTTTTAACAATTTACATTCAAGTTACTTTAAACACAATTTTGGGAATTAAACTTCTTACATATGGGTTCACTCTTTTTAGATACTTCTACTAAATTTATATTAGAAGATAATATAATAAATATTTCTTTAGTAAATAAATTATTATTATCTTACGTTACAGCTATTGCGCAAGTATTAGAAAAACTTGATTTCGAACTATGTAAATTTAAGATCATACAACATTATATATATATATATATATATATATATATATATATATATTACATATGCTTTTAGAATTTAAATGATATTGTAAATTAGTTCACAGCAATTATTTTTATTTTTCATTTTTACAATTGAAATTTCTTTACTAAATTTTTATTCAACAAAATTGATTAGAGTACATTTTATTCACACACATATGTATATTTGCATGTATTTAATAAAAATCAATGAAGTGAAAGCATCCAAAAGAACTTAATGAAATTTAATACAAAATTTTCAAGTTTTTTGAAAAACAAAACATTTATTGAGTTTTTGGAAAATAATCTGATATTTTTCTTTGCATGGTCTCTTTTAGCATCAAACTGTCAACAATTTGTTCGATATCGTCCATTTTGTAATTCATTTTACCATTGGAATGAGGGTCTAAATAACTGCACATATGTTTCATGATGTTCCTCATTTTGCATGACCTGGGAACAGAAGCTGTATCATTCATTTAATTTCCGTCATTGGAATCTGCATCAATGATATTTTTTTAGCTTTAAGCAAACTCCAAAATGTCTTTGTCTGCCATGATTGTGGGCTGTACATACTATATTATCATCAACTGCAACAAATTCTTCCAATGACACAGTAGGACAGTCCAATAATGCAGAAACTTTCTCAAACATTTCATCAAGTGTCAGCTGAGTTTCAAAATCCTCTTTCTCCATTTCTTTTGGCACCAAAAAATCTGATACTTTTGAGAATCCTGCATGACGTAAACAATTTTCAATTGTCCTTGGAATAAATGAATTATATGCACAGTGCCACATATGAACAGCATCTAATGAATTGAAAGAGAAATCTTCATTTCCTTCAATTGCGAGTACATATTTTCGAAGCAATTGCTTCTGGCAGAAAAATTTCATGTTTTGTATAATCCCTTGATCACAAGGCTGCAAGACACTTGTACTTGGTAGCAAAAAGATAAGTTTTACAGCTCTCAATACAACATTGAAGTGAGCTGGATAATTATCAATTATCATTGCAACCGTATGCTTTTCTCGCAAGAATCACTCATCTAACTTTACAATCCAATCAGAGAACATCGTAACTACCATACCATACCTTTTTGTTTGCTGCATATTCGATCGGTAATGTTCTTACATTCTTAAAACACCACGATTTCAAACTTCTGCCAATAACAAATAAGGGTAGTTTTTCAGAACCATCTAAATTGCATCCTACCTGCTTAGTATTTTTTGTTACCAAACGAATTACTAGTAGGTCTTTGCAACAATAGATGGCGCTGCTGCCTGATGATTCAATTCTGGTTGCTATGGTAATGAACTTTCAACTCATAACTTATGTGATTTGTATTCTATTCTTTTTTTTTTTTTAATTGCTACAGTGTTAAGAGTGAAGTGTGTTGTGTCGTCACGTAGACAGCATTCCTTCTATTTGAAAGTGTTATGTAAAATAAACAAGTGATATTATAGTCCGCTTAACTTTGTTTTTTTTTTTTAAACTTATTCTTAACATTCCTGGTCCGTAGCGACCGGAGAGAAGAGTTAGCGAGCTTTGGATATGATGTGATTTATTCAAATAT